TCTTTGGTGGGTCTTTCCCTCCAGCTGGTTAACTGAGGGTCACTCCATCCAACATTTCTTGTATGTTGTTGTGCAGGTGCTGCCAGAACAAAAGCACAAAGCCCAGGAGGCAAAATAACAACCGTAAAAATATCTTCCTCCACAATCCTACTATAAACAGCAAATGAACCAGTATTAATAAGGGTATAAAAAGATTAAGAGTATTATAAGAAAGGAGAGCAAATATGAGATGACCTACTGAAAGAAGAATGACTTTGAGAGGGTAGAGAGGAATACTAATAAGAGTTGGGAATCAGAGGAATTGAAAGGGGAATGTAAAATTTACATCATAAATTAAAAATGGAAGGAAGAAGGCAGACTGGAGTAAGAGAAAGGAAGCATATAGTATTAGATTTAAACAGAAATTAAAATAAAACTGAGAGAAGAAAAAAGGAAGGGGGCCCCGGCTGATGTGGCTTTAGTGGATTAAGTGCCAGCCTGTGAACCAAAGGGTTGCCAGTTTGATTTCCAGTCGGGGCATATACCTGGATTGTGGGACAGGTCCCCAGTATGGGGTACATGAGAAGCAACTGCACTTTGATGCTTCTCTCCCTCTCTTTCTTCTTTAAAGAAAAGAAAAAGGCAGGGGGATTGGAGAGAAAGATTCACCAGAGCACTATCAACAACAAATCAGACTTCCGGCCAAGATGGAGGCGTAGGTAGACACACTGTGCCTCCTCACACAACCAAAATAAGGACAACAAAAATTTAGAAACAAACAAACAACCAGTACTGACAGAAAATTGAACTGTGTGGAAGTTCGACAACCAAGGAGTTAAAGAAAAAACATTTATCCAGACCAGTAAGAGGGGCGGAATTGGGTGGCCAACTGGAGAGGACTTGCAGCAAAGCGGCAGCTGGCGGAACCCAGGCGCATAAGGCGTCAGCAGGCAGGCCCAGCAAGGCAGCGAATTGTGGAAGGGCATGGTGCACAGGCCACTGGCAGAATGGCCAGTCTCACATTTGTACGCAGATAAACCAGGCAAAACTAGGGAGTGAGACAGACTGCCAAACCCAGGGTTCCAGCTCAGGAAAATAAAGCCTCAAAACACTGATTGAAAATACCTATGGGGGTTGAGGTGCCAGGAGAAACTCCAGAGTTTGTTGGAGAGTCCCACAGGGTCATAGAACGTACACAAACCCACCCATCTGGGAACAAGCATCAGACAGGCCCAGTTTGCTTGGGGGAAGCAGTGGAAGTGACTGAAATCTGGTAGAGAGTGGAACAAGTGCCATTGTTCCCTCTCTGACCCCTGCCCCACGTACAGCATAACAACCCAGGGACGTGGGTTGCCCACCCTGGTGAACACCCAAGGCTCCTCCCCTCACTATATAACAGGCACATCAAGACAAAAAAAATGGCCCAAATGAAAGTACAGATCAGAGTTCCAGAAATAATACAACTAAGTGTCAAAGAGATAGCCAACCTTTCAGATGCCCAGTTCAAAACACTGGTAATCAGGATGCTCACAGAATTGGTTGAATTCTGATGTTCCAACATCTGAATCATTTGGATACCAGAAGGGGAAGAGGAACTGCAACAAGTGGAAAAGTTATTTGAACAAGTAATAAAGGAGAACTTCCCCAATCTGCCAACAGAAATAGACTTCCAGGAAGCCCAGAGAGTCCCAAAGAAGTTGGACCCAAGGAGGAACACACCAAGGCACATTATTATTACATTACCCAAGATTAAAATGAAGGAAAGAATCCTAGAAGCAGCGAGAGATAAGGAGACAGTTACCTACAAAGGAGTTCCCATCAGACTGTCAGCTGACTTCTCAAAAGAGACCTTGCAGGCAAGAAGGGGCTGGAAAGAAGTATTCCAAGTCATGAAAGGCAAGGATCTACATCCAAGATTGCTCTATCCAGCAAAGCTTTCATTTAAAATGGAAGGGCAGATAAAGTGCTTCTCAGATAAGGTCAAGTTAAAGGAGTTCATCATCACCAAGCCCCTATCATATGAAATGTTAAAGGGACTTATCTAAGAAAAAGAAGATAAAAGACATGTACAGTAAAATGGTAGCAAACTCACAGTTATTAACAACCACAACAAAAACAAACTAAGCAAACAACTAGAACAGAAACAGAATCACAGAAGTGGAGATCACATGGAGAGTTATAATTGGGAGGGGGAAAAGATACAGAGACTAAGTAGCATAGATGGTAGGTAGAAAATAGACAGGGGGAGGGTAAAATAGTATGGGAAATGTAGAAGCTAAAGAACTTGTAAGTATGACACAAGGACATGACCTAAAGACAGGGAATGTGGGTGGAAGATTGTGTGCAGGGTGGAAGGGAGTGAAAGGGGGAAAATGGGACAACTGTAATAGCATAATAGATAATCTGTATATAAAAAATTAAAAAACAAATCAGCTAAAATTAATATGGATGTAATGGGAATTGGAGAGGGGAAAAAAGGAAAATTTCTAGAGGAATGGGAAGTGAGTTAAATGATGGAGAGAGAGTACTAAGAGTCAGGAGTGAAAACAGGCAATACAGGGAAAAAATAAAATTTGAGATGAAAAAAAAGGGGAAAGATGAAAGAAAAAGAAGAAAGAAAAAAGTAAAAGCTAAGCTACGATAAATAACATTTGAGACAAAAAAGAGTAGGAGGGGAAAGGGTAAAATTTGAGATTTTAAATACAAAATTAGTGAAGATCTACACATAACACTGAAAAAATGCAACAACTACCCTATCCACAACAACAGGCGAAGATTGCTAAAGGTAGAGAGTGCAGGTATTTTAAGATTGGGAAAAAGGATGTGAGATGACCACTGACAAGAAAACTGGTTTCGAGAGCCTAGATGGAGTGAAATAGTAAGGGTGCCAGATGGAAACAAGTTGTAGTAAGGGAGAAAACAAAATTTAAAATGAAAATAATGAGAGGGAAGAAGAAGGTAAAATGGGTAAGAGAAGGGAATGGCAAAATATGTGAATTGAAATAAACTATAGTATAAAATCTAGTGACTTAAATGTACAAACTTGATGTACAGGAAATGAATGATAAAAAACTATGCAAGAAAGAAAATATTGCAAATCCTGAAGACCATGGTGCAGTTTGTCTTGGTAGCATCTAGTATTTACCACTATTCTTTCTTTTTGGATCCACCTCTGGTGGTTTCAGATGTTGATCCCCTCTGACCTTCAGGAGCCTGTTTGAGATTTCCATGGCTCTACTGTCTGTGGCTACCTCCTTCATTTTTTAATCTAGTCAGACTGCACTCAGTCAGACTGCCCTCAGCAGTCAGGCTTAAGCACCATAGGGAGGTTCAAAATCCCTGGGAATTGGGGCTGTTTTTTCCCCTCAGGCTGCTTCCACTCAGAGAAGCATGGTCTGCCTGAGCACCATGGTATTGCCATATGAGGGTGACTCATCACCGGGATCCTGCCATCTACTCTGATTTCTCTCCCCAAAGCTTTTGTCCCTAGTCTCTCCTGAGGGGTCTTTAGCTCACTCTGTCCCCCACCTCTTTGCTGGATCAATGAAAATTTGTGCATTTGCCCTTTAAATGAGTCTTTGTGTCTCCAGCCATCCATCTCTGTCAGAGAGCGACCCTGCTGCTTTTTGCCACAGGATATTATCTGTGTATGTTTTAGGTTCTAGTATTCTAGGCTGGGGATTCCAGCTTAGGGTTTAGATCCCACACTTCTGAGGGGTATCCAACTGGCTGCTTAAGTATCACTCTGGAGCTTACATATTTGAGTGGGCACCTAGCCAGCCCTCTCACGTTTCTACTGAACTCCCTACCAGTCAGATTGTGCTGAAGCTTATTCTTCTGTCTGTCTGAGGTTATAAGGCTTCTCTCTTACTATTGTTCAGTTTGTTCTGGGTGATTTCTCAACAATTTAATTGTAATTTCAGATTGGTCCTGGGAGAAGGTCAGTGTGACTTCCATTTACTCCTCTGCCATTTGGAAGAGATCTAAAATATTTTTAATAAAATGTACCTTTAATTATGAGGTCTAGATTTCTTAACATAGAATAAAAGATGCTTCAAAATTGTACACTAACATTTCAGTCTAATCAGTTGGTACTCTTTACCATGTAATCTGTACTATCCGAGAAATTTTTAAAAATGGAGAAGAGGGGGGGAAGTAGTCTAAAATTTCCACCATTAAAATGTGTACCACATTCTAAAAATACTTTAGCCACACAAAGAATACAGCAACTATTTCTGTCTCTAAAATGGGACAATTAAAAGTCAATGGAATTTAATACTTATGTCCTCATAAAGGACTTAGTAACTAAAACTTCAGTAAATATAGTAGTCTCCCCTTGTGCATGGAAAATATGTTCCAGGATCCACAGTTGTATGCCTGTAATCATAGATAGTATCAAACTGTATATAGTTATGTATTTTTCTCTATATACATACCTATGATAAAGCTTAATTTATAAATTAAGCTATTTTACAAATAGAGTTGTTCTTAGCATCCTCAACATACAGCTTTTTTTATTCTTATTAAGTGGAGAAATTTTACCTTTTCACTTAAAGGAAGCATATTCTAATAGTCAGCATCACTACTCTTAGACTGGGTTCATTAGTAAGTAAAATAAGGAGTTTTGAACACAAGCACTGCAATACCGTCACAGTAGACCTGACAACCAAGATGGCTTCTAAGTGAATAACAGACAGGCAGCATATACTGTGTTGGATACGTTGGACAAAGGGCTGATGCGTGTCCTGGGCAGGATGGAGCCAGATGGCTCAAGATTTCATTGTGCTACTCAGAATGGAATGTAATTTAAAATTTAGAAATTATTTTTGGAATTTTCCATTTAATATTTTTAGACCATGGTTGACCACGAATGACTGCAAAAAGCAAAGCTGCTGATAAGGGCTCCACTATACTTAAAACTGATGAAGAACCTAACAAAGGGAAAGTTAGCCTCTTGGTGATACATATTTTTGTCATTGACTATAGTTTTTGGGTTTTTTTTTTTAATTTTTTTCTAATAGGAATGAACACTTTGCTGTGTGCTCCCATTCAGACCCAGATGCAACAAAGAGAGGTATGGGTTCATGCAAGTGCCTTCATATTTTAATTTCTCTTGACAGCTACAACTTTTTAAAAAGTCAAAATTTAATGGTAATGGTATGATTCAGGGGTCACCTACCAAAATGGACCTGTAGACTGGAAAAACTTCTTTAAAAAAAAGATTTTATTTACTTATTTTAGAGAGAGGGCAAAGGAGGGAGAAAGAAAGGGAGAGAAACATTAATGTGTGGTTGCCTCTCTATTGCCCCTGACTGGGGACCAGTCCCTCAACCAAGGCATGTGTCCTGACTGGGAATCCAACTGGCGACCCTTTGATTCATAGGCCCATGCTCAATCCACTGAGCTACACCAGCCAGGGCTGGAAAAACTTACCTTTTTAGTTAGTTAGGGAAAATTTAATTACTCTCAGCTTAAATATTAGGGAAATATATTAGTTATATCATGACTTCTCAAACTTTAATGGGCATATGAATCATCTCAAGATTTTGTTAAAATATAGATTCTTATCCACTAGATCTAATGTGGGCCCTTGTGTTATATAGTTCTAACAATCTCCTAGGTGTTATTAATATACCTACGTGTTTAATATACCTAGGTGTTATGGTCTGTTGGACCATACTTCAAGTACCAAGGAGTTTGACCATATCCTTACAAATAAAATCAGATTAAAAGAAAATCCTAACTCCCAAAAGTACAGAATGTGTTATAAATTAGTCATTATGTACTTACCCCTTTCTAAGTCTTTTTTATTTAGAATGACAATGACCTAATACAGTGATTAGAAGTTTCATTATATTTGCATTCAGTATTGTCGGTCCTTTCTATTTTTTATCATTCTAGTGGATGTATAATTAACCTTGAACTTTTAATTTGTCTAAAAACACTAAAAGTATTCTAAGTCTTTAGAAAAAAATTTTATAACAAATTACTATACACCACACCATTGTTTCAGACACACCAAAATATCATGAGACCATCATTGAAGATTATTTATATAGCACATGTAAAATGCCTTTTTTTTTTAATTTGCATTTTATTTGATTTTTTGATGTTTTGTTTTCATTATAGGTTTCAGTTACAGAGCACAATCATGGAAAGAAACATTCATGTGACCAGACAGTCATCTTTTCAGATGAAAACCAGATGGACCTGACAGCAAGTCACACTGTGATGATTACCAAAGGCCTTTTAGATTATACAAAAAATGAGAAGTCCACCAAGATAGATACCACGGCCTTCCTGGCTAACTTAAAGCTTCACACTGAGGATTCAAGAATAGAAAAAGAGTTAAATTTTTCCATGGATCAAAATACTAATTCAGAAAAGAAAATAAATTTCAATGACTTCATAAAAAGATTGAAAACAAGGAAATCTAATGCTTCTTGTACAGGACCTGATAAGGAAAATTCTGAGATATCTATTCATTCAAAAGAATCAAATAGGACCTCTTCTGTACATCAAATGCATGAATCCTTTCATGTAGATGAAACTGGCAGTAATATGACTAGAATCTTTAGAGAACAAGATGATGAGATGGATTTCACCCATTGTCATACAGCCAATATTCAGAATTTGCTTCCCACATCCAGTGAGGCTAACTTAAGGGAGTTTAAAAGTGATGATATTACAGTTTATGGAAGTGACTTAATGGACTTGACAAGAAACCACACTATACAAATTTTACCCTCAGCAGATAATTTACCTGAAATTGAAAATCAAACCCAGACTGTCATGATGGATGTTACAACAGATGATAGAACTAAAGCTTCAGAGAAAAAGAGCGTCTTTGAGAATAAACCAAATGCTGCTTTCCAAGATCCTTCCTTAAACCCTAAAGGTGAAATACATATTACCAGAAGTGATATTACTGGGACAGAAACTCAAATGGTCACACAGCCTTCTAACCAAGATATCAGTACATTGGCTGTGATCCCAGAATCTATATGTTCCAGTACAGCAATTCAAGATTATAAGACATTTTTGTATTCTAGTTGTAATAATGCCATGGAACTGACTAAGTGTCTCTCAAGTACGAGAGAAGAAAAAAATTTGCTGAAGCATGACAGTAATTATGCCAAAATGTATCCTAATCCAGATGTCAGCTCTCTTCTTACAGAGAATACGATATATTCAGGAGAGGACAGCATGGACATTACCAAGAGTCACACGGTTGCAATAGATAATCAGATTTTTAAACAAGATCAGACAGATGTACGGATAGCCATACCAATATCTGAAAAAGAAATGCTCCAAAATCACATAATTGTGTCAAAGGATAAAGAATTTAATGTAAACTGTAGCTCAGTTCTCGATGTATCTAGGGAAACATTAAAACAGGGCCTGGCAAATCCTTCCTTTATTTCACTGACTGGCAAAAAGAATGTAATCTTCACAGGTGAAGATAACGATTTGACTAAAAGTCACAAAACTAATTTGGGAAGTCAAGCTCCTTCTCCATCTTATAATCTAGCATCTGAAGATATTAATAAGTCTCACTCTGACAGCAATGGCCTTTTAAATGAATTAGAAAAAATGACCAAAAGTCATTTTGAACTATCCCAACAGCCAAACATAATATCTCAAAACTTCCTAACTGACACTTGGAGAAGAGAAAAAGATCCAGTTTTGGAGGTTTCACCCTATCTTGATGAAGTTTCTCCTCAGTCAGTCAATATTAACCAGGACAGTGCAAAGTATAATATACTATACTCTGGTGGAGATCTTAATAAACAAGTAGCCCTGGGGAATAACAGAAATACTGTGTCATGTGAGCAATCTATGTTTCCTACCACAAAGCTGTTTTCATCAGAAGGACAATGTACTGTGAAAAATCATAATACTGCTATTGACAGTCATATAGTAAAATCTGTACCAGGCCAGAACTCTAAACTGCCTGAGCCACTGAGGAAAAGTTTAGGCAATCCTGCCCTTGACTGTTCTCATGACAAGATAATTATTTGTTCAGAAGAGGAGCAAAATATGGATCTAACCAAGAGTCACACTGTTGTCATTGGATTTGGACCTTCTGAAGTACAAGAACTTGATAAGACTAATTTAGGAAATAGTATCAGACATGAAGCTGTAAAAGTTGAGAATTATAATAAAACTCCTACTGAAAAATCTGGAGTATTCATTTTTAATGATATGGATACATTGGAGGACAAATGTATACAGCAACCTGGATTTCTGAATGAAAACCAAGATGTCCAAATTTGTGAAAGGAAAAGTATTGACAGACTAAAAATTGATAAGACTGTTATATTTTCAGAGGGTGATGAGAATAATATGGATATCACCAAGAGTTATACCTTGGAAATAAATCATAGACCTTTATTAGATGAACCTGATTCCCATTTGGTGCCTTCAGCAGGAACTTCTAAAACTGTTTTGTATGCATATGGGCAGGATGATATGGAGGTCACCAGAAGTCACACAACTGCCATAGAATTTAAAACTGTCTCACCAGATGAAATAACTACCAGGCCTGTGGACAAGACTGTAATGTTTATAGGTAATCATGATGAGCTAGAAATGACAAAATCCCACACTGTTTTCATTGACTACCAAGCAAAGGAAAGAACTGTGCTTCCAGAGAGACCTGATTTTGAACTATCCAAAAAGAAAGGCCTGGGAAAATCAACAGTGACTCCTTATTCTGAGGATAGTGTTTTCTTTCCAGAGAATGTTAAAAGTGACAATTCAGCAGCAAGAGTCAGCCAGCTGACTAGGGAACGGTCTAATAGTGGTTCTGTAGAGAAAGCTGTAGCAGTTATAGCTAATGGTAACATGGAAGTGTCTACATCAACCATTTGGAAAAATAACAAAGATGTACCAAAGCCTAGATTTCTGAATGAACCTCTGTCAGACATAAGTCAAAGAAGGAAAAGCCTTAGATTCAAAAATGACAAGTCCATTGCATTATCAAGTAATCATAAAAATGACATGGATATCATCCAGAGTTGTACAGAAATAAATAATAAAAGTGCCGTAGAAGATGAAGAAGACCTCCTTTTGGTGCCTTTGGCAGGAACTTCTAAAACTGTTCTTTATACATGTGGGCAGGATGACATGGAGATCACTAGAAGTCACACAACTGCCTTAGAGTGTAAAACTGTCTCACCGGTTAAAATAACCAGTAAGCCTATGCAGAATACTATAATGTTTTTTGATAATCACAATGATATGGAAGTCACCAAGTCCCATAATGCTTTCATTGATTGTCAAGCCACTGAGAAAATACTTCAAGAGTACTCTAATTTTGGAACAGCAAAAGGAGAAACCTTGGGTGTTTCTTTTCCTAAGGATGGTAGGTCTGTTCAAGAAATCACTGAAAAACAAGTACAGGCTGTAGAAAACAAAGTTGTTCTTCACACTGAGCAAAAGCATCATGTGATAGCCTTTTCTAATACATTTTCTGGGGATCAAGGTGAGAGAGAAATTGTCAAATTCTATAGCACTGCTGTGGATGAAAAGGACAGGGGGGGAGTTGTAGGCCAGGCCGACACATTGGAAAAAGCCAAACTTGAAAGCTGCCACTTAAGTAGCACAGCTAGAAGAAATGTGGATTTTACAAACAGTCATGCACCTGCTATTTGTGAATCCAGCAATAATTATTCCTGTTTACCTAATGTTATTTCCTATTTTGATAATTTGGAGGGGAATGTCATGTCCTTACATGATAAAGATGAGAAAGCCAGTAATTGCCCAGTGCAAAATGGTCTTGCTTATGCAAATAATTTAGCCCGTGAGTATTACTTGAAATCTGAGGGACTGCTTCTTTCTGATTCTTGTTCTTTGTTAGAGAAGGAAAAAATTACTCAAACTGATACCAAAGGACAGTCAGACTGTGTCATAACAGTGCTCAAAGATCAAGATCTGATTACGGAGCCCCAAAATCTATTAGCTAATCAAACTTTAGTATGTGGTCAAGATTTGAGGAACATGACCAAACTTGACTCAATGCAAGTATCTCTTAAGTTTCCAGAGGATCAGATGGAGACCTTTGTTCATAATGCAGAACATAGTTTAAAGCCGATCTTTGTCGATGATGTTTGTATTGGTTCTCAGCCTCATCTCTCAAAGCAGCTCTCTCCATTACCTCAACAAGGACAGAGTGTTGTTAATAAAGATGAAAGTAAGACTTTAAATATTGTTACAAGGAATTCCTCTGTACCCATAGAGGAATTGAGTAAAAATAAGTCCATAATGCTCAATAATGAGAAACAGTTTACTGTAGCCTGTGAAGAAGAACCGAAGAAAAATATCCAAACAGCTAAATGTAATATAGCCATAGATTTCTGCAGTAACTCAGACTTGACTAAGCAAGTTGTTCAAACTCATGACAATCCTAAAGAAACATCAAATCCTATCATTGCATCTAATACTGCAAGTTTTAGTAGTGGCAAACCAAATGTGAATAATTTGAATAAGGAAACTGAAAAAATTTTGGATTTACAAACTGTCTGTATACCAGCTGTTCCAGAACAACTACTTGAATTAGTAAATAATGCAGATAATGATGTGAGTAGAGTGCAAGCTACAGAAATATGTAATATGAACACAGTGTCCAACAATGTTAAAGATGATAGAGATGAGAATAAATTTTTTCATAATGAATCTGAAACCAACTCTCTACCATTAGTGACATTTGTAAAGGATAAAGTGAGGAGATGTTCTTTGGGAATATTTTTGCCCAGATTGCCAAACAAGAGAAATTGTAGTGTCACTGGTATTGATGACCTAGAGCAGGTTCCATCAGACACAGCTGATTTAAATCACCTAGAAACTCAGCTGGTCTCCAATAAGGATTTAGGCATTGGATTTATTGCAGCTAAGCTGAACTTAAGTCCATCGCAATATATAAATGAGGAAAATCTTCCTATATATCCTGGTGAGATTAATTCTTCAGACTCTATTAGCATAGAAACTGAGGAAAAGTCTTTGATCAAGACATATGAAAAAGAGATTTCACCACCTGAAAATAAAATGAAAGAAACCTGCAATAGCCAGAAAAGAACCTGGGTACAAGAAGATGATGATGATATTCAGAATGAGAAAAAAATCAGAAAAAGGGAGATTAAGTGTACTGATACTACACAAGATCAGGAGGTAAGCTCTGTCTTGAACTAAGGAATGTTCTTGATTTTAAAAAAATTATGAGCATACTTGAATTTTTATTTTTGTCTTGGGTAAGCAAGAATTATTTTCAATTATAGGGCTGAAGAAATATTTCTTTGTAAAATCTTAAGGGATTAATTGACTAACAGCTAGACTTAAAAACATTCTGAAGTGGCAGATGGTCACAAAAAAATGAAATTTAAAGTAGTACAAAAATTAATGTGGAAATGATAGAATTCTAAATATTCTATCACCTCTGGTGATTTGTTGTAGTTCTGCATATGAAAATTTCTAGGAAGGATACATGTGGTTTGAAAAGTCATCTTCAGTGTTAAAATATTTAGAGGATAAAAAGCCTTTTTATTATGCAAACTGCATAAAGAAAAACTTGACTGAATTTTCTTGGCTAACGAGAGTGTGAAGAAACTGAAAGTCCATTTCTTTAGTGGATGGGAAAATGCCTAAGTCAAGCGCAGTACCTCAAAATGAAGTAAGTGAGATTTTGTATTTTTGAAAGAGGTCATAGATATTAAAGTTGAAGGACACTGATTTGAATAATTTGGGAGACTAAGACCTGTCATCCAACTTGAGTTTTACAGGTGGAGAAATAAAGATTAAAATTATCAGGATCATCAAAACAGTTTAAACTCAAGAAATAATGTAAGCTTAGAAGATTATTTCAGTGGTTCTATAAGATGAGGTGGTGAGGAATTGGCTTGTGTATGAAGATTTAAGAAAGTAGTTAACAGTAATATAAAATGCATAACTGAATAGATTCTGTGAAAATTAGTGCTATTTTGTTCAGTAAATACTTATTTAGTATCTGTAATGTCCCAGGTACTGTTGAGGTTGCTAGGATGTTTCAGTGGGAATTTATAGACAAAAATCTGCTGTCATGGAGCATATTTACACTATGGCATTTAGACAAAGAATATAATGTCCTCAAAAACATATATAAAGTTGGTAAACAAAAATGACATTAAAGGCTGTAAAGTCAAATGATTAAAGTATTAAAAACAGGACCCCATGACTTATTTGACTTCATCCAAAGGAGTCTTGTTCACCAAATGAAGGAAATACTAAAGCCTGGACATAAGTTTCTTTCTGTACTAGTCAATATTCTATTCTGGCTTTCTGTAGCGTGGTATCCCTGATCCTGGTGGCTAGTAGTTGAGTAATAGGATAGGTCAACGTTAGATAGCTCGTAGAATCTGGCTGTAACTAAGATACATCAGAGAAATAATTTCTTATACAGTGTAATTTGCAAAGTTATTTCTGTGTATTTTAAAGTAAAATTACTTTTAACTCTAAAGACTTCATTTGCCTGTTACTTATTCTAATTCTTTGCTAAGGGGACTCATAAGTTATATGAGTTATCTATAAATTTTATGTTAGAAGTATTTCTTTAGTGTTCAAGAAACATTTAGTCATTATGAGTATACAGTGTTACAACTTTGTCCTGATGATGTTCCTTAATTGATAATTTCAGATTTTCATTCACCATGCTGAAGGGGATATAGATAAAAATGGTAACAGTATATTGATAAAAAGCCTGAGCAGGACCCCCTCTAGTTGCAGCAGTTCTCTGGACTCGATCAAGACTGATGGGACCTCTGTGGACTGCAGCAGTAAGATGATCTTCGTGAAAACTAATTAACACAAGTCATCTGCTTACTTGACTAATAATAAATGTATATCCATTCAAGAGATTTTTAAAATTTGTATATAAGCTAGCCCTGACTGATGTGGCTCAGTGGGCTGGGCATCCTCCCACAGACTGAAAGGTTACCAGTTTGATTCCCAGTGGGGCACATGGCTGGGCTGTGGGCCAGGTCCCCAGCGTGGGGCATGGGAGAAACAGCCAATCAATATATTTCTATCCCCCCCTTCCTCTCTCTCTAAAATGAAATAAATAAAAATGAAATTTGTATAAATTTTTTTAGGAGTTATAAATAGTTGATAAGTAAAATAATACTTTATGTTTAATTCTTGTTACTTTAATAAATTGAGAAGTGAAATACTACACTGAGTAGAGCAGTTTCCTTAAGAGGCTTATACTCAGTTAAGAAAACATTGAATGGAGCCTTAAAACTAACATATTTTACCTTATAAATAACTGTCTTTCCAACAAGATCTTAATAGATTGCTTCAGGAGCATGAACCACACATAAACCTGAATGATAACTAAAATTAAGTTTACAATTTAATTTCGACTTATCACCTGAATTTGCCTTACTTCTAGCATACCGCAGTAGTCAGATGGAATCACAGTTTCTCACAGATACTATTTGTGAAGAGAGCTTGAAGGAGGTATGTATTCCTAATTCCTAATTTAGGAATTAGTATTCCTAAAGTATTCCTAATTTCTAATGTAATTAATTTCCTTGTTTTGTTTTTTCTTAATTTTTAAAAAATGTTGAAATGTTTCAAATATACACAAGATGAGTTTTCTGTGTTAAGGGTCCAATATGGCAGTTAATTATATGGAGTGGAAATAATGGTTAGAAGACCTACGTTTTGCTGTTTTTTTCCCCAATTCTACTGTTACTGAATAATCTCAAGAAGTAAATTTTAGATAAAATCTACTCATATCTAACTTACAAATATCTGGATAGTATTTCCACAAATATATATAAAGAACTTTAAGCTATTTACCAACAAATGAGGTGGTTATAATCAAAATGAGCTCACCTCGAATGGTCATGCAAACTTTTTTTCTTTCCTCAGAAACTCAAAGATGGGAGAATAACAATAAAGGAGTTCTTTATACTACTTCAAGTCCACATTTTGATACAGAAACCCCGACAGAGCACTCTCCCAGCCAAAGTAAGTGTAATTTCTTGGCAAAATAATTGCCTCAATTAGAAAATATTGTTTTTATTTACTAAACTGCTTCAATGCAAGCATTTATTCAGAAAGAAAAAAGAATAAGGGAAGCAAATTTTTCTATACACGTTTTCCCATAGTAGGTATATTTGTGGTTATTGTAAAAATTTATACCTTTTTTTGTACTATGGATTTTTCATAAGGTGAAATTTTATTTTTCTCATTTCTTGCCATCTATTTTGTCTTTGATACTTTTTCTAAACGTATGCTCTTTCCCATTATAAAAATCTAAGTTTTTAATAAACATTTTTTGAAATAAGTATGTAGTAAGATCATGAACATTTGAATAATACAGTCACCAAACTCAATTTCAAAGATTAATAGAAAAACTTATAACACTTTTATAGGAGTATTTTTTTTCTTAACTCTGTTGAACATTTACAAAGATTAGTTATGCTTTTGGCCACAAAGAAAACATTGACAAATTGAAAAAAATGGAGATTTTATGGACCACATCATCTGATCTTAGTACAATAAAATTAGAACTAATAAAAGGACTAAACATTCTTTAGCTTCTTAGAAATAAGAAACCTATTTCTGATAATTTTTATGTCAAAGAGGAAATCAAAAGTATTTAGAAAGCAAAGGAAAGGAAAACAGTTAATACCAAATCTATGCAAAAATTATGCTTAACAGGAAATTAAGAGCCTCACATATCATTGTTACAGAAGAGAGTCTAAAAATAAAAGAATTGTTAATACTCACTTTAAGAAATTGGAACAATAAAATCATATCCATAAAAAGTCAGAAAGACGTTTAATGCAAATAAATGATAAAGTTAATGAATTTTTAGGTATTAAATTACTTAATGTATAGCCATTATTTTTCGGCTTTGTTGAGGTTAATGACAAATACTGCATAGCCATTTTCAAGACATTTACAATTCCATGTGAGTAGAACATCTAGTTTCCCTAAACATCTGTGGGAAATGGACTTTGATGTCAGAGACTTGAATCCAGATTTCAACTTGTAACTTTCTTTACTAAGTATAAAAATTTCCAAAGAATATTCAAATATTTCTTTGTAGAACTTTTAGAAATAGACACTTTAAAACTTGAAACAGTTCTTAAACATGGTTTGTCTGATTTTGTTTTTTCAGTTTGCTATAAACACACAGTCTACTTCAGAAGATCTGATGTTAAGTCAGTATGTTTACCGACCCAAGATACAGATTTATAGAGAAGATTGTGAAGCTCTTCGCCAAAAGATCGAAGAGTATGAAAGTTTTTGTTTTTGTGTTTGTTGGATGAGTGAATAATTTGTATGTTAAGGTGTTGATTAGAATAACACTAGCATAGAAAACTTGATGGCATTAATCGGTGGTGTGATACAGTATGTTTAAAGAAAGAGTTTTGGCTTTCAGGTTGAAGCTCAATCCTGGCTGTGACACTGTGGAACATTATATGAGCCATTTAAGCATTATTTCCATATCTGTAAATTGGGGATAATAATACCTACTCAGCAGGTAGATATGAAAAGTAGAAAAGAGTGTATATAAAATGTCTTCATGCCATTTTTAGTAAAAAGTATGTCCTCAGTGAACAATAATTATTAGGTTATGATATCATAAATTGATTGCAAAGGAACATCTTCAAAGAGAGCTATCCTTTAGAGATTTATATGTAGTGCCTAACATCAAGAATGCCTTTGAGTTGATAATTTTGTCACATTTGCCCTTGATCCACATGTATAAAATAACATGGTTTTACTCTGACTGTAGCTTAGTGCTTTGGTATATAGAGATGCAGACTAATTTACAAGTTAGGTACAGCATACTTAGATTCCCACAGGTAGATCAGGACTTGCAAGCCAAGTTATGTTTACATCATACTTATCTAAAATTATCCAACTAAATTTGAACCAATCTAACAGAAAAGAAATAAAATAATCTTTTAGGAAGTATGTAGTTTTAAAAATAGAGGCTTAAACCCTGGCTGGTGTAGCTCAGTGGATTGAGCTCGGGCCTGTGAACCAAAGGATTGTGGTTTGATTCCCATTCAAGGCAAATGCCTGGGTTGCAGGCCAGTTCCTGGCAGGGGACGCACAAGAGGCAACCATACATTGGTATTTCTCTCCCTCTCTCCTTCCCTTCTCCTTTACAAATAAATAAATAAAATCTTTTTTTTTTAAAAAAAAAAGAGGTTTAAGATGCTGTTAAATTATTATACTACAGATTTGCCTGATTCTGGCTTGTTTATTCAACAGATATATATATTGAGCACCTACTATGTGCTAGGTACTGTACTAAGTACTGAGGTTCTTCACTGAATGAGACAGAAATTTCTTTATGTTGTGTGAATGAGTTGGGCATCTCATGATTTGTCTGAGAATGCTTTATTTTGAATGAAATACAATGAATAGCCTGTTTAGATGTGCTGTGCTATTTGATTTTACACTTCTATGCCTGTATATAATATCTTTTAACTCTGGTAGAAATTTATTTTTTCTGCTTATTAATAAGAGACTAATATATATCATTGCTACTTTTATAAATGCTATTCTGTAAAGGTGAGATAGGGCTTTGGACTGAATTGGGAACTTTTATTTAAAATAATAGTTACAACTTCACAGTTATGCATTGACAGGCCTTAAGGATTCTTTATTAGCGTATGTTTTCATATTAGCATATGTTTTCAAGCTGATAATATTGCAATGAGAATTCTATTTGTGAGAGAAGTTTTTTTGACTCATAACATTTCGAACTGTTCTACAAGTGTTGAAATAATAAGACTGGTTGCTGTTCTTGAGTGTATTCCCCTCTTTTTATATAGGAAAACAACTAGAGAGAATTAAATGAAGTATGCCTGTAGATCTGAGTTGATTCATTGAAGCTGACTTCTGAACCCTATGCTAATTAACATTTTTATATTTTAGATTAAAGCTTTCTGCATTGAACCAAGATAAACTATTGACTAATGTAAATAGGAACCTATGGGAAAAAATGAGACACTGCTGTGATGAGGAGGTACTTTTGTTTTATTTACTGAGTGGGAATCACTATAGACATTTTGAATAATTCTCATTATGAAATAGGTAACTTTCTTGTTAATTAGTGATGAGTTCTTTAATTTACTTCTCAGGTATAATATGTTACCAAGGTTTTATTTAATTATACATGAGTAATTGTTACTATATAATTTTGTCAAACCTGAAATGATCAAATAATATATGAAATATAGTTGAAGTTTATTTAGAGTTCCCTCCTTCTTATTTGCTTTTCACTTAGATTTAGATGAGGAAAAGATTTAATTGATTAAATAATAATGAACTTGTTTTATATGGGCTCTAGTTCATTCAAGGAATTTTATTAAGAACCTGTCATTTTCAAGTTTGTAATAATAATAAGTGAACTGGAAGCAGGAATCAAAATTAAAATCTTTGGTTGTGCTTTTAAACTATTAAATGGAATTAAATTTGCAAATGAGAAGTGTCCTGTTTTAGGAAGCAGAGTCTAGAATTGTCAAAGCTTAGCATGCGTCTTCTGAACCAGCCTCCTCAGATCTTGTGCTTTTTCTGACTCTTGTTTAGTGCATTGTTACCTTTGACTTTTCCTTGTAGCTGAAGGCCTTTGGAATTTACCTGAACAAAATAAAATCACATTTTACCAAGATGACTAAAGTCTTTACTCACCAAGGAAAAGTGGCCCTCTACAGCAAGCTGGTGAAGTCAGCTCAGGTAATTTGAGACAGTTAATAGCGTAGAAAGAAAGATCTATTAAAGTTACTTTATGGTGGTTATGGAATATGAAAAATGTTTCTTAGACATGTGAGTGAAACTTGGGCAAAAGTTTAGAATTGTTCATAAGGCAAAGGAATTTAATTTATCAAAAATGGCAAATCCTAAAACCTTGAGCAATTTTAAAATATATTTACTAATATGGGCCTATTTCTTATCTCAAATTTGTTATTTATTATACAGCTTGAAATAAAACAATATAGAGCCCTGGCTGGTGTAGCTCAGTGGATTGAGCGCGGGCCTGCAAACCAGACAATCGAGGTTCGATTCCCAGTCAGGGCACATGCCTGGGTTGCAGGCTGGTTCCCTGCAGGCCAGTTCCCAGCAGGCGACGCACAAAAGGCAACCATACATTGATGTTTCTCTCCTTCCCTTTCCCTCTAAAAATAAATAAATAAAATTAAAAAAAAATAAAACAATATAGGATTCTACTCTTCCATTGCAAAGGACTATAGTACTATCTTTCACATAATTCATACCTAGCTGTGTACATTTGTATATGTGTTTAAAGTAGCGTTTCCCAAAATGATCATCCTTTAAGAAAGTTCTGTGTTTAAAAACTTTCTATAGCAAATAAGTCTGGGAAATGTTACATGTAATATCACTTTTCAGAGAAATATAATAGTTAGCATATTAATGTTTACAATCAAAAATCTTTTTTTAAAAGCCTAAAAAGAAAAAAATACTATGATTCTGTTTGACCAGTGTTTTCTATAGATAGAACATTTTTTTGACCATATAACATTTTTCAATGAACTCTTTTGTTTTTTAAGATTTTATTTATTTTTATAGAGAGAGGAAGGGAGGAAGAAAGAGGGAGAGAAACATCAATGTGTGGTTGTCTCTCATGTGGCCCTCACTAGGGACCTGTCCCGCAACCCAGGCATGTGCCCCAACTTTTGAATCGAATCAGCAAACCTTTGGTTCAGTTCAACAGCCCACGTTCAATCCACTGAGCTACACCGGCCAGGGCAATGAACTCTTTTTGAAGTAATATTTAAACGTAGACTGGAAACATTGACCTTCATTTTAAGATCTACCTGTTCATGATTTAGATCTATCAGTTATATCAGCTGTTTGAAATCTGATAATGTTATAATGTTTTGTTTGGAACTTGAACTTAACCATGTATAATATTGTGTGTTTAGAATGAGAGGGAGAAACTTCAGGTAAGGATAGAAGAGATGGACAACATACTTAAGAAGATGGACAGCTGTCTCACTGAGGTGAAACTAGGTAAAGTATTTTGAGTATTTTTTGCAAAGAAAATTTTTATATAAGTGCTTCTTTTCATATAGATTGCTGGTATCACTATGCTGAAGCCTTGTATTAGCAGTTCAAGATTAAATTAGAGCAAATTAAAGCTCCTTTACTGTAGTCCTCTATAACACTATCAACAAGAGAGGGCCAAAATAATAAGTCTCTTTGGAAAGCTCTTTCTAACCTAGACCATAATCTGTTTTTTTAATATATTAACTTATGTCTAAGTATGATCCTTTCTATTTGAGCTCTCGTAATCCCAGCTTGTTTAGTATTGTTGTCCTGAAACCGCTTTCTCAAAGATCACAAAATTCCACATAATCATCACATTGGTAACTCAGTCTTTAGCTATCTCGACCTCTTTCAGCATTTGAAAATGTAATTATCATTTTCTTTTTTTTTAAATATTTTTATTGATTATGCTTTTACAGTTTTCCCAATTTTTCCCCCTTTATCCCCTCTTCGCCCTGTCCCCCCAACCTTACTGTCTTCTTCACAGGAAAAAAAAAAAGAAGCCAGTTAGGTTTGAACTTCTAAACTTTCTGCCACCAAACAAACCAAACTCGAATATATCTATATGTTCATTCTTTCATCCTTTGTTTTCCCTAAGACCAGTCTCTCTACCTAAACTTTGAATTCCATCCCTTCTTCTCAGGAATCCTGTATCACTGATTTTCCCTTATCTCATATAGTCAACCTCTCTGCCCCCTCTATCGGATGTATTCACTCCTCTCTCATCTTTAAAAATACTAATGACCACACTTCCTTCTTGGGCATCACTACTAAATGACTCCCAACTTCTTTCTTGTTCTTTCATCATTCCTTGAGCAAATATACTGAATACCTAGTAAGTGTCATATACAGTGCTCAGTGCTAAAAATACTATGGTGATTAAAAACAAAGATCGATTCCCAGTCAGGGCACATGCCTGAGTTAGACAGTTCCCGGCAATTCCCACGGGAAAAAAAAGTTTTTTCCCCCTCCTCCTCCCTCCAAAAAAAAAAAAAATAAAAAAAAAAAAACAAAGAGTTTGTGCCCTATGGAGCTTTTAGTCTAGATGAGAATATAAGAATTAAACAAATAGTATTACAGTAAGTGCTATGGAAGACAGATTACATGGTGCTACAAAGTCCTGAAACAGAATTCTGACCTAGTTGAATCAGGAAAGGCTTCCCTCTCAGGAAGTGACATTTAAGCTAAGATAAAGACTGAGTAGAGGGGAAAGCAGACTATTCAATGGAGTGTTGGGATGGGATTTGAATAGATCAAGAGTAAATGTAAGTTCAGTAATTGTTAGACTGGTATAGTTAAGAAAGGACAGTAGCTTGTATTAAGGGAGGCTAGTGATGGTGAAGAAAGAAAGATTTAAAAAATATTTTTGAGGTAAAAATCTAAACTTGGTTACTTGGTTTGGATGGGGGGAGCAGGATTTTAAGGATGATTACAAGGTTTTAAAAATAAGTAAAAATTTGTACATGTGTGTGCATGCATATCTGTTCCTGCTTAGTCCATGGTGTTGCCTAACAATAATTTTGATTATGCAAATTTATGTAAATAATCTCCAACAGAGAATGGCCTCTGAAAGGCTACTATTGGAGATTATTGCTATGTAGCTCAAAGTTCAGCTGTCTGCTACTAGAAGCAAATTTTATATGAAATTATAATTATATCCCAGTACTTTATTGTCAAGTAAAGGTGGGGGAATGGTGGGTGTTTGTCAAATATTCTTTTTTTTTTTCATAGTTCATTTTTCGAATTTTTTTCTATTACCGGTTTATCCCCCCATACCTTCTTCCACCTCCACCCACTATCACCACACTGTTGTCTGTGTCCATGAGTTGCTTTTCTTTTTTGCTCAATCCCTCCGTCTCCCCACCCCTGCCACCCAGACAGAGCTATCAGCCCGCTCTCTATCTATGAGTCTGTCTCTATTTTGCTTGTTACTTCAGTTTGTTCGTTAGATTATGCAATATGAGTGAAATCATGTAATACTTTTCTTTCTCAGACTGGCTTATTTCATTTAGCATAATGCTTTCAAGGTCTATCCATGCTGTCATAAATGGTGACATTTTCTCCTTTTTTTTTTTTATGGCCAAATAGCGTTCCATTGTGTAAATGTATCATAGCTGTTTTATCCACTCATCTACTGATAGACACTTGGGCTATTTCTACATCTTGGCTGTTATAAATAACACTGCAATGAACATAGGGGTGCGTATATTCTTTCAAATTAGCAATTCGGGTTTTTTTGGGTAAATTCCCAGCAGTGGAATTGCTGGATCATAAGGCAGTTGCATTTTTAATTTCTTGAGGAAACTACATACTGTTTTCCACAGTGGCTGCACAAATCTCCATTCCCACCAACAGTGCAGAAGGGTTCCCCTTTGTCTACATCCTTGTTAGCACTTTTTTGTTGATTTATTGATGATAGTTATTCTGACAGGTGTAAGGTGTTATCTCATTGTTTTAATTTGCATTTCTCCGATGATTAGCGACATGGAGCATCTTTTCGTATGTCTGTTGGCCATCTGTATGTCCTCTTTGAAGAAGTGTGCTTTGCCCAGTTTTTAATTGGATTGATTGAGGGGTTTGGGGGTGTTAAGTTTTATAAGTTTTAAAGTAAATTTTGGATGTTAATTCTCTATCGGATGTATCAGTGAGTGTATTTTCCCATTCAGTGGGTTGTCTTTTCATTTTGTTGATGGCTTCCTTTGTTGTGCAAAAATTTTTTAGTTTGATGTAGTCTCATTTGTTTATTTTTTCTTTTGTATCCCTCGCTGGAGTAGATATATCAGAAAAAATATTGCTACAAGCAGTGTCTGAGATTTTACTGCCTATGTTTTCTTCTACGATTTTTATGGTTTCAACTCCAACATTTAAGTCTTTAATCTATATTGAATTTATTCTTGTTTGTGGTGTAAGAAAGTCTGTTTTTACTTTTCTGCATCTGTCCAATTTTCCTAACACAATTTATTTCATGAACTATCTTTAGCCCATTGTATGTTTAGCCCATTGTATTTGCCTCTTCTGTCCAATATTAATTGACTATAAAAGCATAGATTTCTTTCTGGGCTCTCTATTCTGTGCCATTGATCTGTCTGTTTTTATGTCACATCAAATATTCTTAACAGTTCATTTTAGGAGCAAGTGGACTTTTCAAGGCCAGTTTTTAAATTATTTTTGACTGGTTATTCTAATGCACATTGTCTATTTTAGAAACTAAGAATTTGGAGAGTGAAGAGAAATATAATTTTGTGGAAGAATGGGATTCTGAAATGAGAGCTGCAGAGAAAGGTAACTGAATTAATAATTAAGGAGATAAATGGGGAGAAAAACCCTTCTGTGCTGAGTTTATTTGTTTAGGTGAGATTAATGAGATAGAATTTTCAATAAATAGATGATTTCTGTAGCAACATTTCAATGGGTCCATTTTGATAGATGTGTTTTTATTTTTCTTTCAAAGAACTGGAACAGTTGAAAACTGAAGAAGAAGAGCTTCAAAGGTCAGCCTTCAATTTGAGTGTTAGAAAATATGCTAAACTTCACAAGGTTAAATGACTTCCTGTCTCCAGAAACTGACAAGACTGGGGGCATGATTATTGACTCAGAGCTTTGACCTTGACCCTGAGGTTGATAGTATTTTCTAAGAACCCTTGTTTATTGGGAATTAATTCAAGGCAATATTTCTCAAACTTGAATAATATCAGGATCCTTTTAAGGAAAAGAAACCTAGCATTAACCTATTTTTATAGTGTATTTAAGTAAGTATCAATAAGTTTAATATGAGATGTATATGTTTATACTCATGAATTTTATTTAACTATAAGACTAAAAGAGATCGACTATAAATGATAAAACAAGTAAAATTTCTATTGACAACATTAATCTGACAGGTGATAATGTTTGGCTGAAATTAAACTGATGCTAGCAAAATAACTAATAGAGCATCAGTTCTATTTAGATCAAATAAACTAAACAAAACCAAATGAAAACACTGAAATTATGACATGTCTCAGTTTTAAGGTAGGCAGTCTCATAATCTGCATTATGGTTATATTTTTATCATCAAAACGAAAATATAAATTTTAGTAATCTTAAAGAACGCTGGCTGGTGTGGCTCAGTGGATTGAGTAAACCAGAGGGTTCACTGTGAACCAAAGGATTGCTGGTTCAATTCCCAGTTAGGACACATGCCTGGGTTGTGATCCAGGTCCCCAGTAGGGAGCACATGGGAGGCAACTGTACATTGATGTTTCTTTCCCTTTATTTCTCCCTTCTTTCCCCTCTCTAAAAATAAAATCTTAAAAAAAAAATAATAATCTTAAAGAACATGAGAGCCCCCAAGGATATGTTTATGAATTCTAATTTGAAAGCCATTGATTTAAGCCTTTCTTAATTAGACCCAGGCTCCAGATTAATGCTCATCCCCCAAAAAACCCACCTGAGAATGCAAAAATGGATGACATTCACCTCATTGAGGAGCCATCTAGAATGTGACTTTTTGTCATAAACCTTTTCTTTTAATAGAGTCTGAATTTTCTAACAACAGACTTACCTTTCTGGGGGGGTTGTTTTGTTTTGTTTTGTTTTTTCAGAAGTCTCTTAGAAGTAGAGGTACAGAAAGAGCAAACCCTTGCTCAAATAGACTTTGTGCAAAAACAAATAAGTACAACTGAAGAGCTACTGGATCAGTTGAGGTAAGAAAAAGCTGGTATCATTAGTTTGTGTTTTATCCTGTGCCTTTGGGGTTATCTGAACCTACCAGAACAGTTGACATGTGTTTGTAGTATATATCAGTGTTTTAACCAACAGAGAGAGTCTCTGTACTCAAGTTGAAAGTATACAAGGTAAGAAAGCTATGTAATTATAATTTTAAATATTTAATACTTTGTATTGCCTAGACTTGGTTTTTCTCTGATATACAACCCAGGATTGAGTGAATTCTTATTTCTGTCAAAAGCATGTTTGTACATTCACAATATTTTAATTAAAATTGTACTCCCAATCCAGTACAAAAGCTCTAGTAGCAGTTGCTGGTCCTGTGTGTTACCTGAAGTTAACTTTATTCTTTTATCTCAAAAACATATTTTTTGTCTTGTTTATCTGTCCAGCTTGTCTGAGTGGGATGTCATTGAGTGGAGTGATGACCAAGCCATATTCACCTTTCTTTATGATACGATAGAACTCATCATCACTTTCGGAGAGCCAGTAGGTGAGTAGCAAAAGTAAGATAATTCCTCTCCAGAAAAGTATATGGCTAAACTCATTTTTATTTTAATGCAATAGTAACTATTGACATAATGAAAGCACCGTTGAAAAATTTTAGAAGAGGCTATCACCTTAATTAGTGAGAATAGAATTATGTTTTTATTTTATTAGATAAGAGTAAAATAAAAATTCAGCTAGTGACAGTTGCCCTTTGTTGAATAACATTAGTAGAAATTTTGCATTTTCAGTTATTGGATCAGCATGCTATTCACATCTATTTACTCTGAGTTCCTTTTTTCTGTGTCTTTTGCGATGCATAATTTACTCTAATGGTTGGTGACTCTTGACTGTACTTTTGTACTTCAGTTAACCTAAAAGTTCATTGGAAGTCCTGTGTGTATTGACGGGCTTATCAAAGTAGGTAGATATTACTATATGGTGACTGGAGAGAGTATTAACTTTTTTGTTAGAGTTGCCTGTCAGTATCTTTAGGTTTTTTCTCTTGAAACAATTAACTTCATCATAGCCAATTATGGGTAAATATGACCAAATTGGAATTTAGGATCTTTACACTCTCCCAGCCTCCAAATGTGATTCTCTGTCAAAGTTCCTTTTATTGCCCTGGCTGGTTTGGCTCAGTGGATTGAGTGCTAGCCCACGAACCAAAGGGTCACTGGTTTGATTCCCAGTCAGGGCACATGCCTGGGTTGTAGGCCAGGTCCCTGGTATGGGGCACATGAGAGGCAACCACACATTGATGTTTTTCCTTCTCTTTCTCTCTCCCTTCTCCTCTCTCTAAAAATAAATAAAATCTTTTTAAATTTTTTCTTTTTTTAATGAATACCATTAACTTCCAGGTCCAAAATTAAAACTTAGGAATCACTCAATACCTTCTTCTCCCTCAGTAAGCATATTTAAATCATTAATAAGACTTATTGATTTTAATTTAATATTCACCACTTTTCTTCCCTTCTGTTCATAGTCATCTCTAACCTAGGTGACTATAGTAACAGTTCAGCTGGTCTTTCTGGATCTTCTCTTTTTCCTCTCCAATTCATTCTCCCTTCTGTAGCTATAATGATTGTTGGAAATCTGATCATGCCCCTATTATTTTAGACTGATGATTAAAATATTTAACATAGTCTATAAAGCTCTTTTTTTCTCCTTTTCCTGCCTCATCTGACACTGTTCTCTTCATGTCAGGCACAGCGAATTTCTTTTATTGTCTTAAAAGATTATGGTCTTCAGAGGATCGCAGTTTAATTCCCAGTCAGGGCACATGCCTGGGTTGCAAGCCAGTTCCCTGCAGGCCAGTTCCCAGCAGCAGAGCACTAGAGGCAACTGTGCATTGATATTTCTCTCCCCCTCTCCTTCCCCTCTATAGATAGATAGATAGATGATAGATAGATAGATAGATAGATAGATAAATTAATTTAAAAAAAAAGATTATGGTCTTGGCCTGGCCACTGTGATTGTGTTGAGCATTGTCCCATAAAGTGAAAGGTTACTTGTTTGATTCCCGGTTGAGATACATGCCTAGGTTGCAGGTTCAGTTCCCAATCAGGGCAGCTGATTGATGTTTCTCTCTCACATCAATGTTTTTCTCCCTGTCTTTCTCCCTCCCTTCCTCTCTCTCTAAAAATAAATTAATAAAATGTTTTTAAAAAGTAAGGGCTTTTATCTTCAGTCATATTTTATTCTACCTCAGGACCTACATACTGATGTTTCTTACACCTGGGAGCTTTCACTTAGTCCATTAGGGCTGCTGTAAGAAAAGTAACATAAATTGGGTAGCTTATAAACAACAGAAATTTGTCACAGTCCTAGAAGCTGGAAGTCTGAGATCAGAAAGCCAGCATGGTCAGGTGAGGGCCCATTTCCAGGTTGCATGCTTCTGATTGTATCTTCACATGACAAAAGCCAAGTGTAGTTCTCTGGGATCTCTTTTATAAGGGGTCTCTACCTTCATGATCTAAGTACCTCCCAAAGGTCCCACTTCCTTGTATCATCACATTGGACATTAGGATTTCAACATATGAATTTGGACGAAACACAAATGTTTAGCAACCCCTCTTTACTAAATAAATTTTTACTAATAATCCTTACAAGCTCAGACTAATTATCACTTTCTCAGGGAAATTTTACTGGACTCTGATTATACCTATTCCCTTTGCTACTTGCCCTCCTTATATGTTCTCATTGCTTCCTGCAGTTTGCCTTAATAGTGTTTATCACAGTTTGTAGTTCTTGGTGTGTATATTACTGCAATTATCTGTATGTTCCCCTGAGTTGTAAGCTTCTTGAGAGTATAGATTGATCATGTCTATTTGTGTCACAGTTGTATCCAAAAGTAAAAATCAGTTTGGGAGACAAGAGATAACTCTAGAGTTTGGACGAGCCGCAGTTATTCTGGCTACCTAAAACTCATACTGTAATGCTAAAAACATGAGTCATTATGACTATTTTTGTACAAAGATAACAGGTGTGGGAGGTCATAGTCTCTTCATATGGTTCCTGAAAATAATATCTTTGCACATCAGTTAAGGGTTAAAGGAGGCCTTAACAAATATAAGTGTTATACCTTAAATTTCTTTCAAAGGCCTGCCAATCAGTGTAGTTCAGCAGTCTCAGGGGGCCTTTACAGTGGAGAAAGAATAAGTATGATTCAAGGATAAACCTTCAACTCCCTATAAAAAAAAAAGTCCTGCTACCTAGAAAGAGTAGGGCTCTAAAGTACTTGAGTTGTATGTGGCTTAAAATCAGATAATAAAAGGAAATACCGTCCTTATTCTGGTTCTTTCTAGATGGTCTCCCTTTCGTGAACAACGCTTATAGGAGGATTGTTGACCTGAATTTTCAATCTCTGTTAGATGGTAAGTTCAAAACATTTAAGCCACTAGAAAATATGTTGGAAATTTACAAGTGTAAATTGCTCCCTGAGAACTCTTTCACATTTTAAATTAAATATAAATAATAATTATAATAATTTGTCCTTAGAAATGTGTGGTAGACACAAAACTGCTAGGGTAATGTTCCAAATATTGGGTAGGTTTTAAAAGAAGTAATTTTAAAATTATTATTACTAGATCTTGAGTGATGATTAATAATAGCTAGTTCTGTAATCTAAAAGTTACCATTGTGAGCCTTGTTCTCTATCAGGTATGTATATTACTTACATCAATACTATGAGGTAGGTACTATTCCCCATTTCACAAATTAGTGGCCTACAGCTCAGAAGAATTAAGTGTTGGGCTTAGGATCACTCAGATATTAAGGAAAGATTGAATTTAAACTCAGGTTTATGTTACATAACCCTATACTCTTGACCATGTTTTATTTTGTATGTGATAAAGGCTTGAGTTTTTATAAGAATGTCTTGTGTTCACCATGTATTTTGATTTATATGTTCGAAAATAAAATAGGATACTTAGACACCTTGTAGCTTGAAGAAATGTATTTCTAGTTTGTGTAATATTTCTAGCTTCTGTATTTATATAAAACAATCGAATAATTAATACCCTGCTTTTTATTTATTTTTTTCTGTCCTCAGAGGAGAAAGCTCCTCCTTCCTCCCTTTTAGTGCATAAGCTTATTTTTCAGTACATTGAGGAACAGGAATCCTGGAAGAAGAAATGTACAACACAGCACCAGGTATCCAAGGTAAATTTTGATTAAAGGCAAATTATGTTATCGGCCCCAAAAAGCAGAACTAAAATTCTATATGTGTAATAATGGATCTTCAAATGATGACTGTTAAATCAGTTAACTTTGGGGAGTTCTTTATAGAAGAGCCACTAAACACTGAAATGTTTTTATAATTTCTTTTGCTTCTTTTATTTTTCCCAGATGCTTCAAGAAATCTCAATGGTAGTAAGCCATTGCAGACTCCTTGGAGAGGAGATTGAGTTTTTACAGAGATGGGGACCAAATTATAACCTAATGCACATAGATGTGAATGATACCGAGTAAGTGTGTTAGTTCCCTAGGGCTGCCATAACAAAGTGTGCTACAAACTGGTTGGCTTAAACAACAGACTTTATTATCTCACAGTGCTGGAGGCTGGAAGTCTGAGAGCAAGGTGTCAGCATGGTTGGTTCCTTCTGAGGGTTGTGAAGGAGAATCTGTTTTATGCTTCCCTCCTAATTCCTGGTGATTTGCTGGCAATATTTGACATTTCTTGGCGTGTAAATATATAACCCCACTATCTGCTTTCATCTCCACATGATGTTCTTCCTGTGTGTATGTCTGTGTCCAAATGTCCCCTTTTTATAAGGACATCAGTCATTCTGGATTAGGAGCCCATGGTACTTCAGTAGGACCTCATCTTAACTGCAGTGACCCTATTTCCAAATAAGGGCACATGCTGAGATGTACTAGGGTTAGAGCTTCAACATACAAATTTGTGGAAGTGGGGACACAGTTCAATCATGAGAGTAAATAGTAGAAAACTTAAAAAAATATTTTGTTAATGAGTTTCATTAATCATAGTAATAATTCGTTCCAGATGTTTTACCTTCTGTATATCTGATAAAGTCAAGAAATAATGGGCATCAAAGTTTCACATGCCATTGTAAAAGGAAAATATATTTGTGTTTCATTCTGTTTTTGTTTTGTATTTTCAGTTGAGGATTTTGTCTTTTACAGATTGAGCCTTTTATTCTCCAGCTCTGCAGCATTTGCGAAGTTTGAGATAACTTTGTCTCTCTCAGCCCATTATCCATCTGTCCTGTTACCTTTCTCCATTAAAAATCACCTTGGAAACATCAGGTGAGTGAAGGACCAGCGGGATAGAGCTTCCAACTACTTTTTTATCTTTGTTAGGTCATTTGAAAGATCTTCAAAGTGGTTGGCAAGTGGATAGACCGTAGTGAGCCAAATGTTACTTCTCTGACTTCCATTTTGAAGAATTTGTTCTTTTTAGTCAGTGACCTTTGTTGCTATCTCCAGGTGATTTTGGAGAGCACTGGCCTATTCTTTTATACCTGCTCCACTTTTTGAACACTGTTACCTAAAATAGGAATCAAGAAAGAAAAAAGTCCTGCATAAGCTTAGCCCAGGTCATATATGAACAACTTTTATGGCCTTAAAAATAGAATAATCATTTATAAAACTCTGCAGTCATAATGCTTTTCTCAATTAGCCTGTGGAACCAGGCCTAAAAATATTCAATTCCTGCAATATATTGTGTGACTTTTTAGACTCACTGCTGACAGATTGTAAGATGGCAGAATTTAGAAAGTGCCATCAGCAAACTTCAAATCCATCAGCAAACACCAGCAGTCCAATGGTTTAATTTTATAGCCAGAGAAAGCAGCTAGGTCAAGATACCTGACAATTACATTCAGAATTGGTTCTTAGTTTAGGCTTTGTTTAGAATCTCAGTTCAAACTGAATAGTCTAATTATTTCCAGAAATGCTTTTTTTTTTAAATTTTATTTAGTTATTTTTCAAGTACAGTTTTTTGTCTATTTTTCCCATCCCAGCCTCCCCCGCCCCTTGCTCCCCACCTCCCTCCCATTTCCACCCCCTCCAGAAATGCTTATTTATGCTTCCCAGGAGACTAAGAGACTGTACCCAAAAACATGAATTCCACTGAAATGGAGATAAGTGTAAGTTTCCAGAAAAATTAATTAATCTTTTGTTCTTTCCAGCCACAGTGAAATTTCTGCCCTTCTATTTAAAGTGCCACTGGAGGACAACTACTTAAAGAATGTAGTCAAGCAAATTTACCGAGATCTGCTTCAGGGCTGAGATTCCTACCAGTAGACCCATGGACCACAGCTATAACTGGACAAAGCACAGGACACTCAATAATATTATGTTAAAGTCCCCATTGCTGTTTAATCTTCATCTTTACGTCCTAGAAAATAGCCTAGTAAAATTCCTTCTGATGATTTTCTAGTTAGGTTGGTTTTTAAAGCTCTACAGTTAGAAATAATGAAAAGCCTCAAACAGCAAGCTGTCAACTTGCTCACCTTCCTGCTAAAGGTATGAGGAGTAGAGCACTTAGGAACAGTTTCTCCTAACTAAAGTGGCACTCTCTGCTTTAGTTAGGAGCAGTTTAGTCATGAGGAGGTGTAACCACTGGCAAAAACAGGTTTGCTAGCTTCTTCCTAGGAGATATTTCTGAAATAGAGACATGTCTGTCTACAAAGTACTCATCCTCCTTTTTCTCCATTCCAGAAATGTTATTAAGAGAAATCAGTAGCACTCAACTGTTAGTTTGCCATTTTTTTCTTGATGGCCTTGCCTCCTTTTATTATATAATGTCTGTTACTGTTTTCTTAGTAAGTATAATTTTGTATGGAAAGGTCATTGGCTTTGGCCTAGTACATATATGTAAATATATTAATACTGACTTTGTGTTTATGATGTAGTAAGGAGATAGAAATACACAGAGATGTTTAGAAAGATGCCCTATTTCTGCCTAGGCAGTTTCCATCTTTCTGAAGCAATATTCTCAACTCCTTTCATTAAATAATTATACTTCAAACAATATCACACCAAAAACACCAGTTTTTTCAAATTCTGACCATAGTAATGAACTTAGTATTGGTTTCTGAAGCCGTACCTTTCTCATAAACAAAAATAAAACATCACCCTGACCAGTATGGCTCAGTAAGTTGGGCATTGTCCCACAAACCAAAAGGTTGCCAGTTCAATTCCCAGTCAGGGCACAGGCCTGGATTGTGAGCCAGTTCCCGGTTGGGGGTGTGCAAGAGTCACCCGATCGATGTTTCTCTAGCATGTTGATGCTTCTCTCTCTCTTTCTCCCTCCCTTCCCCATCTCTAAAAATAAATAAAGTCTTGAAAAAAACCATGGTTAATCCTTCATTGAATTCTATATTAAAAAAAAACAAAACCTATTAAGGATATGTTGGGGATACTTGGAAATATGACTTTAAACTACATGTTGATTATATTTTTGTATTAGTTAAATACCTTGGGTGTGATAATAGTATTATGGTTCTATAGGAGAATGTCCTTATTAGGATATATATATCTGCAACTTAATTATACATGGCTTTTAACACTGTATCGTATATGTTTGTGTACATATGTGTGAGAGAAAAAGAAAGCAAATACAGCAAAATATTAACAATTGATGGATCTAGGTAATGGGTACATGGGTGTTTAAATTCACTGGTTTTAATATGTAGGCTTGAATTTTTTTTTTAATAAAAAATTGAAAGTGAAAAGAAGTTTGCTTGGTGTCCTACAGAAATGTTGAAAGAACAGTGCAGTTAAATACCCATGTACCCGTTACCTCAATTCAATAAAAATTGAGAAAAAATAAAAATAAAATTACAAATGCAGCTAGTCTTTGAGTCAACAGCTCGATTTCTAGGAAGCTATCCTACAGATAAACATGCAAAATTTTGGCACTGCTTACAGTATTAAAAGGTGATAGACAACTTACATGTCTATCAGTAGGGGTGTGGTACATGCCTTCAGTGAATACTATTTGATTAAAAGGAAAAATTATGCGTTGGAAATCCTGTATGTACTGATCTGAACCTATGAAGATATGTAGTTGAGTGAAAAAGGCAAAATGAAAGACAGTGTATTTATGTGCTGCTATTTGTGTAAAAAAGAGTATTTATATACTCATACCTATTTGCATGCAATGTTTTGACTTTTTATTATAGGATAGCTTTGGAAGGATGGATAATAAACTGGTAACATTTGTTCTTTCCAAGAAGGGAAGCTGGGTGTCTGGGAGCAGAAGAAAGGCAAAACTTTGTACTGAGTACTTTCTGAATTTTGGATCATGTGAATGTTATTAACCACGAAAAACTAAAAATAATTTCAGTACAATTTTTTTTTTAAAAAAAGAACAATATAACCCTCACTTGTGTGGCTCAGGTGTGGCTCCGGTCACAGGTTCGATTCCCTGTGAGGGCATATGCCTAGGTTGCAAGTTGTGGCCAATATTAGGTACCTGATCAATGTTTCTCTCTCACATTGATGTTTCTTTCCCTCCTTCCCCTCTCTAAAATCAGTAAGTATGTTCTCAGGTGAGGATTAAATAAATAAGAACACCATTAAAAACTTTTCATTTTGGGAAATTTTCAAAGGATGAGGGAACATCAAGACCAAGAATTTGGCATAGTCTAGGGCAGAAAGAAATTAAATTTAGCATCAAAAACAGTTGCAGTAATGGTTAATTAGGCTTCCCTAAAGCCTGGATGAAATCTCAGATGTGGGGAAACTATCCTGGATTGGCTGGGTGGGCCCAGTGTAATCACAAGAATCCTTGTAAGGAACAGATTCTCTACTAGAACCTCCAGAAGGAACACAATTCTGTCTAAACCTTAACTTTAGCCTAATGAAACCCATTTAGGAATTCTGACCTCCAGAACTAAGATATTTTTGTTCTTTTAAGTCACCAAATCTATGGTAATTTGTTACAGCCACAATAGGAAACTAAAGACACTGGGATAATTATTGTGTTCCACTGACCTAACTTTTTTGTACAAGTACCTTTTCACTGTAGTTTTATAATAACATTTAATATATTATTAAAGTTTTCTTCTTATAGGATGTGCACTTAAGTTTATTTCAAGGCATTTTATATTTTTGTTAAAATATGAAAATTATTGTAAAGTCAAAACAAATTTATACCAAAAGTTCAAACCATACATAAAAGAATAAAGATGAAGGCAAAGTCATCCAAAAGTTAAGTATTGAGCATCTTTCTACATGCTAGTTTCTTTCAGCTATAAAGAAGACCTATGACTGTTGAGTAGGCAGCCAACAGTGATTGCCACAAATTCCACTGGGATTTCTATTGGGAATTCGCTGATTTTAGAGAATTTTTGAGCTTATAATATTGAGCCTTCTCCTTTGGGACCATAGTTTTATATATTTCTCCATGTAGATCCTAAAAGCTTATTTCTGGTTACTTATGATATTTGTTGCTATTGTGAATGAGTTTTTTTCTATTACATTGTCTAATTTGTTATTGTTAACACTTAATAAAGCTCTCATCTGTTTGTATTTGTAATTAGTTACACTACTGTAATCTCTTATTTGTCCCTTAAACTGTCCAGGTATATAATCATATCTGTAAATATTTTCCAACATTTACATCTTATAACACTCAGTGGCATTTCCTGAACAGCAGTAAATACTTTAAAAAATTTTTTGTCAGTACAGTTTTCTTTTACTTCCATCCCAGCCCACCCCCCCACAGTGTTCCCAACCTCCTTCCCATTTCCACCCGTTAGTTTTTGTCCATGTGTCCTTTATACTTGTTCCTGTGAATCCTTCCCCTTTCCCCCTGAAATTCCCTCCCCTCTCCCCTCTGGTCCCTATCTGCCTGTTCTCTATTAAATAATACTTACAATAGACAGTTTTGTTCTTGGTTTTAATCAAAGTGTTTCTGCCTTGACTGGGGTAAGACCCAGTTGGTTGGGCACAGTCCTGCAAGGCAAAGGGTCGCCAGTTCCATTCCCAGTCAGGGCACTTGCCTGGGTTGCAAGTTCAGTCCCTGGTCAGGGTGTGTCCAAGAGGCAACACATCAATGTTTCTCACATCGATGATTCTCTCCCTCTCTCCCTTCCCCTCTCTCTAAAAATGAATAAAAAAATTTTTTAAGTGTTTCTAATGTTTCACCAGTAAGAAGATAATGGCAGCTTATTTGGGGTGTTTATTTTTTCTTGATCATGTTAAGGAAACAATTTTTTCACATTAATCAGGAACTTATGTTGAATTTTACTGAATGATTTTTCAAAGTGATGGAATTGATTATATAGCTGTTTTCTCTTTAACCTATTAATATGGTCAGCTATAACAGACTTCCTAATATCAAATCATCTTTGCTACTCAAATGGATCACTTGGACACTGGGTTTCCCTTTCCTAATTTTCCTTTCTATGTTCCAGGTCGATTATGCTGATATTATTTTTCTTCAGGCAAAAAATTAGGTTTCTGCTGAGTGTTGGTCTTATCAGAGGTTGCCTCATGAAGATGTCAGATCACTTAGGTTATAATTAAGGATATATCCAAAACTTTTCGGTTACACATTTATATAAATATACTCATGAGTTGCTAATTAGTGAGAAATCTACTTTGTCTTATTTCCAAGTTATTGGTAGGTTATCTTGTAGGAAAGGAACAGAAAACTACTCAAATTGGCTTACACAGGAATAAGGGAGATTTACTGGAATGTAGGGATATCCCATAGACTTTAAGAGCAGTATGTGTTTTGGGGCCCCTGAGAAACAGATCTAGAAAGCAGTCAGAATTCAAAACTTCCTGGCTCATACTCTTTCCCACTTTCTTAGTCTCTCAATTTCTTAATCTTTCTGTAGATGGGGTTTCTCTGATTTAACATCTTACAAAGCCACAGTTTAATTTTAGTAAAGGTCAAAATCATGTGACTCACTCGGCCAAGAGGGGCTATGGATTTGCAGATGCTCTGAGCAGTATGTGTGAAGAATGGGAGGTAAATGTATCTTTGGTATGACATGCAACTCATTATTATCCCCAGGTACTATCTATAATCACTAAGTTAGGTTGGTTGTACTTCAAGAATGCTTCCTGAATCTGTTGTCATGGCTCTAACTCAAGCCTTCATCTCTTGCCTGAAATACTGCAAGAGATTAAGAGTTTTTGCTGTCTTCCGAAATCTATCCTTCAGTGCAAGACAATGGTGTGAGAATTAAATGAAAACTTTGAAGCACTCCACAAATACAAAGTAGTGGTTGGAGAAAAAATAGATCTAACCATATAACTCATCTGCGTAAACACATAAAATGATTTATTTCCCTATTACCTAAAGAATGAAGACAAGCCCAGGCTGGTGTGGCTCAGTGAACTGAGTGTGGCCTGCTAACAAAGGGTCCCGCGGGCTTGATTCCCAGTCCCGTGTCTGGGTTGCCCGCCAGGTCCCCAATAACGGCCGGCGAGAGGCACCACACATTGAGGTTTCTTTCCATCTCTACCTCCCCTCCCCACTCTCTAAAAATAATTTTTTAAATCTTTTTAAAAATGAAGACGAAAGCTCCATACATGGTCTTCAGCTTCTTCATAGCCTGAATACGTAATTCTCAAGTCTCATAATCTCTTACAATACGTTCCCTCCCATAACAGACAATACTATTCATTGACCATGTTGTTAAATTTCTATATCCATAATGGTCTTATTTGCTTATCGTCCAGTGCTTTTTTGCCAGGGAAACCCTATTCACCCTTAAAAACCAAAGTAACAGCTCAAACTTGCCAGTAAACCGCGATAAGTTTACCACTGATTTCTCCAAATCAATGCCTCCCCTTCCTTTGGACGCCTGCAAATCTCCAGTATAGTACCACAGCTCGACTGATATTCCAGCCATTTTTTTTTTTCCTAGCTCCACCAGTTCGATTTTCCAGTTTCATCCATCTACTCTAGCTTCCTCAGCTCAACCACCTCCAAAGCCTGGAAAGCGCCTGGCTCTGGGAATTTTACTAAATCAGAACCTTGAGCCAAAAGCTCACGTTCAGATTATTTATCCAAGGTAGCTAAGCAGTTCTCAGGACGAGGCTATTTCCGAGAGGTGGAGGAGCTACCTCCGCCGCGTCCGCCGGCAGTGCATACTGGGAGATGTAGTCTCGGTCCAACCACACTCCCGCTTGATAGACGTAGTCCTCGATCTGGTAAATGAGAAAGCAGCAATGACTAAACTTAGTCATTAGAGGTAAAAGGAAGAGGGCAATCATAACACCAAGTTCACGGTCCATGAGCTTATCTCTAGGGGTGGCGAGCAGCGGCCCGACGGATCCGAGAGGGGCGGGGAGACGTTACGTAGACGCGAGCGTGACGCTACCCGGGAACGTTTGGCGGGATTTACGAAACTAGTCGGGCAATGCGCGGAGTTACAGCGAGAAGCTGAGGCCTGAGAGAAGCTGAGGCGTCCCCCGAGGCGCTTAGTTGGGAGCTGAAAGTCGGTTGGGTTGTGTGCAGAAGGTGGGAGTAAGGGAGTAGAGAAGTGGGGCGCAAGGTAGGGCGTCTGGAGTCCGTCCAGGGTCGGGCGCGTGCCGGGCCAGCGGACGGAGGTCGGAGCGCGCAGCTCACCGGATCCAGTAGCGCTGCAAGCCCAGGTGAGTGTGTCAGGCACACACACGGTCCCTTTCCACTGCCGGGTTGGTCCCCTCGTTAGCCAGACCGGGATCCAGGCCGGTGCTCCCTCACTCAGTTTATGGGGCCCCTCCCCCGCAAGTGATGCAGGGCAGTGCTGGGCCCAACCGAACTTTGGAGCTTTTCATGGCGAATACAGAAGCTGACTGGTCTTTATAGAGCTGAGAGGAGCCTTTTTGAGACCTTCCTTTTCATTTCCAACTCCTATTTTGTGGGCGTGGGCGAGGAAGCCGAGATCCAGAGAGGTGTAATGACTTAAACCACAGCTGTTTTATGTTAGAGTCAGGGTGACCGGATTTCTGATCAGCCCTCTTTCCATTACACCATGCTTTGCTTACTCCAGCTGTCAAAAACATATTTTCATTATCTGATTGGAAGACCATTCATATGCCTAGGGAATGATCTGTAGTGAGCTGGGGTTTTCTTTTTTAAACCTTTGAAGGGAAGTGTAATATAGATAACACAAATCAAAAGTGTATACAGCTCCATGAATTATTACAAAATGAATATACCTGTATACTTACCACTCGGGTCAAAAAATAGAATGCTGTCAGCACCCCAGAAGCCTCCTTGTGCCCTCTTGTCTAATGCTCTCCCTTCTCTCCAAAGGTAACCACTATTGACTTCTAAGACCATTGACTAATTTTGCTTGTTTCTGAATTTTATATAAGTAATAATGCGTGTGTGTGTGTGTGTGTATGGTATTTGCATGAGTTTGAGCCAAACTGATGACATATTTGCGGGGAAGCAAGATCTCAAATGCTCTTCTAAGTAATGCTATACATATTTATTTCTGGCTTTGTTTAACATTCTGTCTGTACATTGATACATACCTTTGCACATAGCGGTAAGGGTTTTTTTCCTACTTTTACTTTTATTAGTACTTTTTTCATGCTGAATTTTTGAGAACCATAAGTTTTTGTTTTTTCCATTCCTCCTGGATCATCTTTTTCTCCTGTGCAACCTCCTTTTCTGGTTCGGGAACACCCTGCTCTTCAGTGTGGCAGGGAGCGCTTCCGTGTGGGGTCACCCACCCTCGAGCTCTGTAAGTTCTTCGCTGCACTTGGGAGCTTTGTTCACCTGGATATGCTCAAGGACCAGAGAATCTACATCTAGTTCAGCATTACTTTGTGCATTTTTAAGCATGTGCAGCAAAAACTCAGCACTCTTTTTGGGTCACCAACCCTGTGTCCGGCCCCTCTGTTCGGCCTGGGCACATCTACCAACCCCAACATTGTAAGGACAGAACAGCACACATTGCTTCTGTAAAGTGACACCCTTCAGGTACCTGGTGGCTTTTTTAATGTGCATACCCTTGACAGCCTGGGCAGTTTTACTAGTGTTCTTAAAGTGAACACGAAGATTTGAACTTCATGTTTTGCATGATTTTGTGGAGTTTTCTGAGTCAAGTGAATAGGGAACCATTTTCAGAGGTTACCTGTGGTCACTTTCAGGAAGTGCAGTAGTACTTTATTGTTGCTATGTGGTTGGTATTCCTTATTCAACTCATGGTGGACCTTTGGATTATTTCTGTTTTTTAGCCTGTATGAGAAAGGCTGCTGAAAGAACACTCCTGTATATGTCTTGATGGACATGTGTATACTTTTCAGTTGGTCAATAATGTAGAATAGTGAAATTTCTGAGTCATAGCATTGTCTATTTCAACTTTCGTATTTATGCCAGTTTTCCAAATTTGTACCAATTTACACTAAAACCAGCACAATACTGTATGAGTGTCTAGTTGTTTCACATGCTTGCCAACACTTGATAATGTCAGTCTTTTCAATTTTATGGGTATATAGTAATATTTTGTTTTAATTTTTCTAATGGTGTTGAGCATTTGTTTATGGGGTTTTTTTAATTGACTTTAGAGAAAGAGGAAGGTAGAGAAATATCAGTTTGTTGTTCTACTTCTTTATGGATTCATTGGTTGCTTCTTACATGTACCCTGATCAGGAATCAAACCATTTTTCTTTTGGGTTGCTTTCTTGATGATTTGGAGTTGGAGTTTTTTGTTTGGGTTTCTTTTGTTGTTGTTATTGTTGTTGTTTTGTTTTGGTATGTGTTGGGGGTGGTTTATTGATTCAGAGAGAGAGGAAGAGAAACAAATTTGTCGTTCCACTTATTTATGCATTCATTAGTTGATTCTTGTATGTACCCTGATGATCGAACCTGCAACCTTGGCATATTGGGACAATGCTTGAGCTATCTGGCCAGGGCAGTAGTTTTTTTACTATATATTCTAGTTATCAACCCTTGGTTATATGTGTAAATATTTTCTCCCTTCACTATAGTTTTACTTTTCATTCTCTTAATGGTGTCTTTTGATAGAAGTTTTCTGTTTAAATGTAGTTCAGTTTTTCAGTCTTTTCCTTGTAGGTTACTACTTTATGTATCCAATCAAGAAATCTTTCTCCAAAGTCATAAAGATATTCACCTATATTCTGAAAGCTTTGTTTTACCTCTTACATGTAGATCTATAATCTAAATTGGAAATAGATTTTTCCTGTTGTTTTGTTCTCATTCTATAAGGCTATCCAATTAACCCAGCACCGTTTACTGAAAAGACCATCCTTTCCCCATTATTCTGCAGTGGCATCTTTTTCATAAATTATGAAGGGATTTAAGTTTAAATTGCATTCAGGTGATCTTGATACTCAGAATTATCATGGACTCATATTATGCTAAAACTGCCATCTGAAAGATCTATACCTGCACCATTCAAGAACAAATGGTCATTTGTTAAATTTCTAAGAATGGATGTTTCATATATGTTGCCTTTTGAATTAAATTTATCCTGATTGTTGTGTTGTCCAGATCATTTTGATATTATTTAAGGCCATTTATTCTTGTGAGCATTAAGACTTGTTCGCTTTTACTAATAACACCTCTTAAAGATAATTAAAAATTTTTTGTCCTCAGTTCTTTCAACCTGAGTGATCTTAACTTTATCATAATAACCAGACTTTTAAGTACGTTTTTTATGGAAGATTTCCCTCTGGGCAGCATACTTGCCTGTTATTTATTCATTTGTGCATTTCCTGAGGTCTGGAATTCATTAAAATGGTGATCTTTAAATTTCATACACTCCTGTTAGCAAAAGTGCATAATTACAAGCTATGATCCTTGCCTAAGGATGGGAAGTACTTTTCTCATCTCAGTCCACTGTTTCTCTGTCAGGAATGGGGGCTTTTGGGCAGTCATTCCGTACCATCATTTCACTCCTGGCCCACCACCTCCAATCCCTGCTTGCTGGAAGGAACAATGGAACCGAAGCAGTTTAACCTTTCGTCAATTTGTTTTTAAATAGAGTTCTGGAAAGTGCATTCATTTACCAAATATTTACCAAACACCTAATATTTATAATGTATTTTGGGGCTTATACAAATAAATAAGACTTAGTCCCTACCCTCAAGGAGTATGAAGCAGGGAAACAGGGACATAGTTGATCTAGTTATGCTATGCATTATTAAGAAGCAGAATAATCCTGGCTCTTCCTAAAGTTTTTATGATACATCTAGCTAGATAGAAGGGAAAACTGGTGAGAGATTTGTTCTTTTTCTTGCCATTGGATAGGTCACCAGAAGCCTAAGAAGTAATTCTTCAAAGATGTCTTGCAAAACTAAGTTTGCAGCTCTGTACTTTCTCTGGTGTTCTTCCTGATGGCCATCTGTGTTTTTCAGTATTGAACACCAAGTGATGGCAATGCAGATGCAGCTTGAAGCAAATGCAGATACTTCAGTGGAAGAAGAGAGCTTTGGCCCACAACCTATATCACGGTTAGAGGTATGCACTTAGTTGCTAATTTGGAAAGTTTAAAGTTGGACTAGATTCTTCTACCTATTTGGAGAAATCAAAACCTTTATATAAGCTATTGGTTTACTACCTGTTGTTAAGACCCAAATTAGAGCTCTCAGAATAGTTGTCAAGGAGCCCGTGGAAAGGTTTATGACAGTCGCTAAACATGTCAGGGCAGATCTCTTCTTTTGTCAAGAATTCTCCTCCTACTTTATCACTTTTCTTTCTCAGAGCTAGAGTGTCAGAAACTAAGAAGTCCTAGGATCCCATGAGCCTGTGCTGTTTGTACTAAGCATAAAGTTACTCTGTATTCCAGGGAATACAGAGGCCTGGCCAGTGATGCAGGGATGCTGTGCTGAAGTTACTAGCAAGACAGCTAATAACAGGGAGAAGGGTTTGTAGTTGCTGAGGTATAAGAGCCAAGCCCTAATTCAGTACTTGGCACAAGAACATTAAACATCAGAGCTGGGGCCTTGCACTGTTTCTGCTCATTGTGCAGAGGTACCAGTGTGAGTACAACTAACATGGGCTGAAAGAAGTAGGAAGGGAAGCAGAGAAAGCCTTCATTCTCTTTACGCATAATTTTTTTGAATCCCAGCTGAGCTTCAAGACTCCAGAAGTTACTTAAACTGGTTTGTGATAGACAGAGAATTCAGAGTCATAACTTTCGGTATCATGAGCATCCTTATAGCCACACATGTATTGCTTATTGCCTAAATATTAATTGCAGGCATGGTTTCTATAGACAGATATCATTCTCTCATCTCCCAAACCTTCCCCGACTACCTAATACATATACACGCCCCCACTGCCTGATAGTTTCCCAGAAGTAATGCTTTTGGTGGCCAGTAAAACCAAAGCTGACTTCAGATATAGGGAGAAAGAAGTGTCTTTGGGTGGTTTGTGTTGAGAAGTGTTATGTATGTCTCCACCAAAAGTAGCTTTTCCATTCTCATTGTTGGTTGGTAGAGGAGAGCTTTTTAGTCATTGTGTTACAAAAAAAGAGTATTGATATGCTAAAGTAGTGCTCTGCTCAACTCTGGGGCAGCCTCATTTGTTTACCCCAGTTTAGTGTAAAACAATACCATTATTTATGTGTGCTTGATGTGGAAAATATTGAGAAAGAGTAGCTTAAAGTTGTCGTTTAGAACCCAGGGTCTCAGAGTTCATTTAGCTTCTTAGTCATAAAAGGTCAAAAGTTATGCCTTTATTTCCAGTGTTGGAAGTTACTGGTTTAAGCCTAATTCATGATGAGTCCTTATTAATATACATGAGATGGTACTAGTTTAAAACTCCTGGTTTTGATAATTTAAAAAAATTAAATACCTTATATGTGTGGCCCACTTTTCAAAACTCACACATGTAATATCACAATTTTTCCAAACAGCTCTGTGAAGTTGGTAGGGCCGGTGTCCGCATTAGACAAATGAGAAATTTGTCAATGGTTTTCTTCACTTGCAGCAATGTGGCATAAATGCCAATGATGTAAAGAAATTGGAAGAAGCCGGATTCCATACTGTGGAGGCTGTTGCCTATGCACCAAAGAAAGAGCTAATAAATATTAAGGGGATTAGTGAAGCCAAAGCTGATAAAATTCTGGTAAGTAGTGTTTACATGACCTAGGGAGGCATTAGAGGAAGTGGTACAAAAGGTTGCACAGTGGAAGGTGGCAGTCCTTCCATCCCTCCTTGTGTTGTCCTGTTCCTCTTTTCAAAGGTGACTGTATTACCAGTTAATTATCTCTGTATGTACCTTATAGACTAAATTGGGATTTTTCTCTAAGGAATTGCAGTATCATGGGTTATGATATAAATTGTGCCAAATTGACTACCAATTTGCACTCCTACCAGCAGTGAGTGGTATAAACCTTGTTTTTCTCAGTATTATGACCTCATGCCTTAGAAATATTCTTTAGAATGCAGCCACAAAAAACAGGTTCAAAGAATATTCATTGACATAGGAGAATAATATTCCTGATACAAGAAATGTTAATAAAACATCTGTGTATGAATGTGTGAGTGCATGTGTAACCCACATGCTTGATTTTTATTTTTTAAAATGTATGTATAAATGTATAGCACTTACACTGGGGATGTATCCGCTAAAATATTAATATTATTTCTGGATGGTAAGAATGTAAGCAATTTTTTTGTCCTCAATTTTCTGAAGTTTCTACACTTTCTATAATAATGTTTTACTTTTAAGTGGAAAAGCTGTTTTTATTACTTGAATACTAAAGCCATATTAATTAGGCTGTCAGTGTATATAATCTGTTGATCAACTAATCATAGGCAAGATTTTTTAATAATGAAACGAGGGTATGATTTCAAATCATATGCTTAGTTTTGTTGTTGTTTTTAACCTTAGTAAATGACAGAAAAGTTATTTTACTGGCTTAACCAAAGTGAAGTAAAATTCAATTTCTGATAAAGCACTTTAATTGTGAAATCCCATCTCTTTCATATATATTATTATTAGGCCTTTATTACAACACTGAGAAAGATAGGTAAAGCCAGTATTATCTGTATTAATTCTAGTAATCAACAGCTTTATGGAAATTTTCTCTGAAAAATAATCTTTAAAAGCTAAAGAATCTGCCTGGGCTAATGTGGCTTAGTTGGTTGGGTGTTGTCCCACAAAGCAAAAGACCATCATTTTTATTCCCAGTCGGGGTACACACCTGGGTCGCAGGTCTGGTCCCCAGTCGGGGCGCATAGGGAGTTTCACAGTGAGCATATGGGAGGCAAAGGATGGGTGTTTCTCACATCAATGTTTTTCTCCTTCTCCCTCTCCTCCCTCCTTTCCCCTCTCTCTAAAATAAATAAAATATTTATTTTAAAAATTACAGAAAACTGTACTTGAACAATAATTAAATAAAATTTTTTTAAAGCTGAAGAACCTTTCAAAAGAGTTTATCCTTTGTCATTGGGTAGCATCACTACATCTAGTTCTGCTATGTAATTTAGTCAAATGGACAGTGTCCGAGATTTGTGTGTACTTATTAAGTAATTCTTAATTTAAGCCCTTAGAGGAAAGATGTTGTTATTTATTGGATTACTCAAGTAAATAAAGTTGGAATGGTGACTTTATTAGAAGTAAGTTCTCAGTCTCTAATACCTCACTGAAATATCGTGATATTAGTTAAGCCAGTAGGTGTCCCTAAAGTCTATTTGTTCTTTCTTTTTTCATATCAGAATTTGTGACTGAACATATCCTGACAGGATCTTTAGTTATGGCTTATCAGACCTTAGTTTTAGAAATCAAATCAATGTTCTGCTTCTGTGAAAACATACAAACCCGTAATAAGTAAAATCAGATGTGCAAAATAATATAGATGTGTCTTTTTACATTTTTGTCCTCCTGATTTCAGATACTTTATATTGTGAGTTTCTGGTGAGTAAAGATTGTGCTGTTTACTTTTAAAGGCTAAAGATTACTTCAGTACTATGGCTATTTCCTCTCATTCCCAAAAATATTTGGAATTGAGACTCAGCAAGGATATCCATTGTCACAGTGGAGAAATATAACTGTCTCCAGAATTATTTATTTTATTTTTTATTAAATTTATTGGGGTGGTGTTTGTTAATAAGATTATATAGGTTTCAAGTGTACATTTCTATCATACATGATCTGGGACCTTGAAAATATTATGCTAAGTGAAATAGGTCAGTCAGAAAAAGCTAAGAACCATATGATTTCACTCATAAGTGGGATATAAAACTGAAACTCATAGACACAGACAACAGTATGGTGGTCACCAGAGGGAAGGAGGGTAGTAAATGGTAAAAGGGGCCAAATATATGGTGATGGAAGATGAAAGGAAAATGAAAAGAAATCCATTTTTAGAATACAAATGAAAATCTATATAGTTGAGAGAGAAAGGTATTGTGAATGAAGTAATTCATTCAGAAGGTACCAGATTCTCCTGTGGCCTTTTCCACATTTTCAGATTTTAAAGAAATTGTTATTGGCTTTTGTTGAGCTTTTCTCCCTTGTCTGGCACACTTTCACAACACTGGTACATTCAGCGTGGATGTTTTTTGTAATATTTTCCTTTACTTGCCATCTTATGTCTTGTGTCCAAGGGTTTGGTAGTTCTTGGCTATTGAAAACTTACAAAGACTTCCACCTAGCACAGATGAAAGCAAGTTTATTATGTTAAGTATAGGAATATGTGGGGGCACCTTCTTCGCAAGTCCCCCTGAGTGCCACAGATGGAGAGTGAATATGACCGGGATATGATGTGATCTGCTTGGGGAGGAGAAGTGAGCAGTGGCCAGTTTCTCAGGGAAAAAGGCCAATTGCGGCCAGTTTCTCCCAGGAGAAAAAGGCCCCGAGCCCCCTCTTCCAGGGCTTTTATTGGGTTCTAATACACAGGAATACAGGGTGGCAAGGATCAAACAGTAGGTAACATTTCAAAGATATCCGAGGGCTTAATATGAGTCCAAGTCTGTCAGGAACAGAGTTTTGGGGTTTCCTGCTCAAACTCTTAACATATGAATGGAAGCACTCTTAGCAGATTTCACAGGTTTATCAGCAAGTCTTCGTGGTGCCAGATTTTTCCCCAGGACACGCTCTAGCAAGGCAAGGAGCTGCACCTCTCCCTGTCAGGTATTCAGGGTTAAGGGGATTAGAGCTAGGAAGCACTTCTCCCAGAGAACATGGGGACTCAGGCTTTGTCAAAGTAGGGGGGTGAGAGTCCATTGCTCCTTATTACAGCCGCCCCCCCCCCCAGTCCTTCCATGAAGGCCTCCCAAGCGATCCAGTCTGGCTTAGGTTGCCCCCCGCTGTGAGGGGGGGTCTTACCAGTCATTGACTTCCGACCAAGCTTTGGGGGCAGGGAGAGGAAACTGAGGCAGCATTTGCTACCAGAGACAGGCTTTGTGTCCTGCTGCTGGCATTCCAAAGGTCTCGCATTCCAAAGGTCGTCCCTCACCCTTAGCCACAAGGGATCAAGATACAATTCCTAAAGCCAGGCAGAGTAGTCTACAACAGGAATAGAAGTAAAGTTCTGCAAGATTAGACAGTTGCATGGTTTTTTACTTCAGATTTCATTTTGGTTATAATATTCTGTTCCTTTAAGAGCTCAGCGACTAGAAAATGTAGGGGTTAAAATGACAAGAAGGTAAAGCGTCTCCTGAGTTTTCTCAACATGTTGTTATTAATATTTTTATTTATTGATTGATTTTTAGTGAGGAAAAAAGACATAAATTTGATGCTCCAGGTATTTATGCAGTCATTGGTTGATTCTGGTATGTGCCCTGAGTCAAACCACAACCTTGGCATATGGAGACAATGCTCCAACCCACTGAACTACCCCAGCCAGGGCTGTTATTAAAATTTTTGAAATTGCCCTGGCTGGTGTGGCTCAGTGGATTGAGTACCAGCCTGCGAACTGAAAGGTCACGTAGTCAGGGCACACGCCTGGATTGTGGGCCTGGTCCCCAGGTGGGGGCATATGAGAGGCAACTGATGGATGTATCTCTCTCTTTTTCTCCCTCCCTTCCTCGCTCTCTAAAAATAAATAAATAAAGTCTTTAACATTTTTTAACTTATTGCAAAGCTGAAAGAATTATATAGGGCACACTCATGCACCCATCACCTAAACTGTATCATTAGTATTTCAATATACTTGATTTATCACCTATCTATTCATCTCTATCCAGTACTCAGTCTATCTTAGATTTTTCTATGCTTTTCAAAGGAAGTTGGAGATATTAATACATTTCTCCCTAAGTATTTTAGCCTACATTAAGTAGAGTACAATATTGGTTTTTAGCTTTTTCTACCCCCGCTTTGGTATTTTTATTTTCTAATTTTCATTCATCTCTATCCTGAAATTAGTAGAAGTTACAGGAAGAGAGATCACAAGAAAAAGAAGGGAAGAAATTCTCAAAGAAACAATATAGGAAAAGTTAACAGAGTTAAAGGGAAGCAGAAATCTTACCTAGTAGGACCCATAGAGCGTCAAACAACAGCTAGACAAATCAGTGTGAAATTTCAGTATGCAATCATAAAGAAAAGACTCTGAAAATTTTCAGAACAAAAAAAGTAAGTGATCTCTAAAGGAACACAATTAGAAAGTACATTTCCTATCAAAAAAGTGGATGGTAGAAGCAGGTATAGCAGTTCCTTTTAACCTCTGAGAGAAAATAATCTTAAACCTAGCATTCTATTTGTAGCAACTTTTTTTTTAATTGTTTGAATATAGGTGTCTCCGTTTACCCAACACCACTTTCCCCCTTTGGCTTTGTCCATGGGTCCTTTATACATGTTCCTTGATGACTCTTTTCCTTTCTTTCCTTGCTGTCTCCCTCTTCCCTCCCCTCTGGTCGCTGCCAGTTTGCTCTTTATTTCAGTGTCTCTGGTTATATTTTGCTTGCATGTTTGTTGTGTTGATTAAGTTCCACTTATAGGCAAGATCAAAATGGTATTTGTCTTTCACCACCTGGCTTACTTCACTGAGTATAATGCTTTCCAGTTCCATCCTTATTAATCAGCTATTAGGGCAGAATAAAACGTTTTCAGAAACATAAGAATTCAAAACATTTTTCTCTTACATACTTTTTCTTAGGAAGTTATTTGAGGATACACTTCACCAAAATGAAGATAGAAAAACATCGTATCAGGATTAGAGTGGCTCCAACTCCAGTACTCAGTGAAGGACGGGCCAGGACAGTAGCTAGCCAAGAGAGCAGGCCGTCCGGTTTGGAGAAGGAAAGGAGATCCTTGGAGCCGGGAAGGAGGGTTCAGTAGAATACATAGCAAGATTGAGGGGTGGACAATTTGAGTGATGGTAGTCAGAAAATGCTAGAGAAAAACATGGTTCAGATATAAAAGCAAGGTAAAATGGAGCATGATTTTTTAAATGGTGGAGTATAAAAAATAATTTATTAGAATTTGACAGTAGAAACCTTTGAGAGATAGTATTATTAACATTGGAACTTTAGTGAAAGAATTGTATATCTATCACACCATTGGTTCTGCAGTGAATTATATTCACAAAGCTATAATATAGACATTGTAATGAATTTTCAAGTGAAGTTTTAAGAATATAGAGAAGTTTGGAGGAAGCTTTTAGATCTATTCAGATTTTTTTTTCTTCCTTTTTGGTAATCAAACTCAGACTATTTATTTTACTGAATTTAGACTCAAGCTCTACTGATCTTTCAGTTCCTTAACTTGGATTCTTTTCCTATTGGAGTGATTTTGATAATTTGAGTCTTTTTTAGAAATTTGCCTCTTTCATCTAACTTATCTCATTTGTTAGCATAGTTTTATTTTTATTTTTATTTGTTTATTTAGTTTTTAAGATTTTATTTATCTTTAGAGGGGAAGGAGAGAGGGAGAGAAACATCAATGTATGGTGGCCTCTAGTGCGTCCCCTGCTGGGAACTGGCCTGCAGGGAACCGGCCTGCAATCCAGGCATGTGCCCTGACTGGGAATGGAACTGCGATTCTCTGGTTCTCAGACCTGCACTCAATCCACTGAGCTACACCAGCCAGGGCCATAGTTTTATTTTTGTAGGGTTGGTACTGATGTCCCCTCTTTCATTCCTGATTTTAGTTTTTTTGGTCAGGGGTGGGAGAGGTCTAGCTAAAGGTTTATTAATTTTTATTGATCTTCTTGAGTCAACTTTTGATTTTGTTAATTATTCTCTTACATTTCTGTCCTCTGTCTTTTTTTTTTTTTTTTTTTTAATTGGAGAGCGAAAGAGAACAACAGAGAGAGAAACATCGAGATGTTCACTTGTTCATGCAGTCACTGGTTGACTCTTGCATGTGCCCTGACAGGGAATCGAACCCACAACCCTGGTGGTGTCAGGAAGATGATCTAACCAGCTGAGCAATCCAGCCAGGGCTGTTCACCCTCTTCTTAGTTTATGCTCTAATCTTATTTCCTTCCTCTGCTTGTTTAGTTTGCCTTTTTTTTTCCAGTATCTTAAGGTGGATGGTTAGGTTATTGATTTAAGATTTTTCTAATATAAGCATGTACAGCCATAAATTTCCTAGTCTGCACTGCTTTTGCTGTATCCCATAAGTTTTGGTGTTGTGTCTTCATTTTTATTCATCTCAAAGTGTTTTCTAATTTCCCTTGTGGTTTCTCCTTTGACTCATTGGTTATTTAGGAGTGTAGTGTTTAATTCCCAGGCATTTATGAATGCATTTATTTTTCAGTTTTGGAATCAATTGATAGACTGATCATTGAAGACTTATCAGTAACTACAAAGTAGAATATAAATGTCTTAGATGAAGTAAAACATAAAAGGTATGGTTCACAGACATGGGGAAGTTACATGAATGTATTACTTGAATTGGCAATTTAAACATTAATCTTCATTAGCTTATCCTTTAGTTGCCAGAGAGATCGACTAAATCTAGAACTAGAGCTACTAGTATTTTGATGACTTCTTAAAGAGAAATAATACTGGAAATTTGTTAGATGTTGTCTCTTCCCACCATGTGTCTGGTTCTTGTTTTGGTAAGCTTATTTTGTTGATTTCACATTCCTTGTTTTTCCCAGACTGAGGCAGCTAAATTAGTTCCAATGGGTTTCACCACTGCAACTGAGTTCCACCAAAGGCGGTCAGAGATCATACAGATTACAACTGGTTCCAAGGAGCTTGACAAACTACTTCAAGGTATAATAATTTCTTATCCTAAGTTGTGAACTGCATTTAGCAAAGCATCCAGATCATAGAACAAAACTAAAGTATTTGGATAGAATTTATGTGTTAGAGATAATTAAGAGATAAAAGAAGTATCCACATTGATGAAGTAAGACTTGCTACGAGGTGGAACATAATTTGTAAAATACTATCGTTATCTGTCAAATAATTTAATCTCCATTTAATATTGCATTCAGAGAGTAAGTACCCTCTGCCTAAACAAATAATTTTAGTTTTCTACCCTAACACAAGGTTGAAAATCTGAAGACTGATTAAAACACTCCATGTTTGAATACTACACTGTAGTGTACATTCATCTTCAGGACTTCATGGAAAGTGCTACTTTTTGAACTTTTGAAAACATTGCTGTCCTAAATTAAATTTGATTCTTGTTGCTTCCACAAATATTTAATCATTCAAATGTTCTTTTTTGGGGGGGGGTATAAAATAGCTTGGGTTCAGGAATCACACTTAAATTTGGCTATTGTCTCTCTTTCCTATATCTCTGTACCCTCCTCTTTCTAAGGAGATTCAGGAACATTTCTGTGATTATTGTTTCTAAACATTCGCATTGTGATAAGAGGTGTTTGCTATTGCTCTTTTAGGAGGAATTGAGACTGGATCCATCACAGAGATGTTTGGAGAATTCCGAACTGGGAAGACACAGATCTGTCACACATTGGCTGTAACGTGCCAGGTGAGTTGCTGGGCTTCTAACTAATGAAATCAGCAAGAATGATTTGATGTCCACTGTTTTTAAACATTGTTGGGGTAAACATAAAAGGTACTTTCTCTCTCCTAAAGAACCCTATTGCAAAATTCTTCCACATTATAGAAACTTTCAGATCATTAATTTCAAAGACTTTCTTACCATCCACTAGGCCTCCTGTGGCTTTACCTCCCCTCACTAGTCTAAATTTCACGATTCATCATTAAAGTCATTCCTTTACAGATACCCTCAGATTAACATCCCATACCTGACGAGATGCCAGTCTCAGTGAACCCTGTCTTCTCAATGCCTGTGCCTCAAATAGCTGATCATGCAGGAGAAAAATCATACCATAAAGCTGATTGGCTTTACTTGAAAGATGACAAACTTTAGGTTAACATTCAATAATGCTTGGTGGATCTACTGAGTTTCTCCATTTGGGCATACTTTGTCCCACTCAGTAAGACATCTTTATCCTTTCTTCTTCAACCTTCATGCTCGTCTTTAACACTACTATCAATCAGTGACCCGTTTTTTGTATCAGATCTATAAATTCACCTACGTTTATACCCACCTTTTTTTTTTTTTTTAATGCCCACCTTTTCTTATCATGGGTTACAATGGAGAAAGTTCTTTTCCTCTGAAAGGCCGGTCCTACCACTGTATCTGGTTACTATCGCCTGCCAGCTTCTCAAGGACTTAGCTCCATTAGGAAAAACTTTCCACTGGACTCCTTCAGTTTCTTCTTCCTTTATTTATGCTCCCATTCACAGACATATTTGAAAACAGACATAGTGAGTTAATTAATTGCCTAAGATCATATGGTATTTAAGTACTAGTAGATACAGGAATCAAACCAGACTTCAGAGCCAAAGCTCTTAAAACCTTCATAAGGGAAGAAACTAACTGGCTTGTTCTCTGCTGTATTGCTAGTGCCTAAGTCAGTGCTTGGCACTTAGTAAATACTTGACTGGATGGATATGATAGGATATCTTAAGGCATACCTGATATATTATAAAATAAATGGTATAGGGGAAGTAGCTTAACTGTTTAAGGAAGAGAGAAAGATTACCTCACCCTAGAGTAACCATGGAATACTTTATGGAGAAAAGAGATGAGACCAGACCTTTGAAGAATACTAAATTTGAGCAGGTAAAAAAAATTTTTTTTAATATTTACCTACAGGGAATGGTATGAACAGAAAAGAAGTACATGGGGCAGGAAGGCATAATGTATTGAGGAGAAAACAATAAACTCATTTACCTAGTTCAGAAGTTTTATTTGGATAAGTTGTAGGAGATAAACCTTTTTAGAAGGTCTTGATTGTAGTGTAAGAAGCTTACACTCGATTCTATAGAGAGTAGGAATTATTCAGTGTTTTCAACTAAAGAGTAACAGCTTTATATTCAGAAATTTTCTGGTAGCAACCTACTGAATGATTTGAAAGGAGATGGGAGACTCCAGGATATTTGGTATATAATTATTACAAGCATTAGCTGATCAGGACTAAACTGAAAAGTGTCACTGAGGGAATAGAGGTGATGTAAAGGTCAACACTTAATCGTTGGCAATAAAAAAAATACCCCTCCACTGAACACTGTATTACTTGGGTAAACTAGGGTTTGGAAGAGACCGTTTTTAGTGGGAAGATGAATTCAAGTTCAGAGGTGGTGGATTTGAGATGGTGAGACAACCAAGTAAAAATTTCCAGCTTTATTTAGAGATGTAGAACGAAGTCCTATGTAGAGAAGTAACATTGGAATCTCTGAAAATTAAAGATCTGTGAGAGAGAGAAGGATATAGGAGAGAAGGGCAAAAACATTGTATTGTTTTGTGACTTCAAGCAGCATTTTGGGGAAATCTTTTCCCTCTTTGAATGGGGTCCTCACATTCCCTGGCTTTTAAGGGTATGCTGCTGTGAGTGGCTAGTCCACAAAGTACCTTGGAACCTTGTGCATTCCCATGGTCCAGCTCTTTTGGGGCTTTATTATACTTTTAGGTATTTGAAGAAAATGGCATTATTTTAATTTAGATAGATCATACTTCACCCAAGGACACAACTTATCGATGTAATTCAAGAACAACTGGAATGAAATCTTCCTTATATATAGTTTCTTTCCATCCTAGTGTGAGTTCTTATCCTCTCAACAAAACAATAATAGTTCTTGGAACTTATTTATAAATTTAGACATCAAATATAAATTGTCTTTTTTTTTCTTCTTATTGAATTTATTGGGGTGACACTAGTTAACAATTATACAGGTTTCAGGTGCACAATTTCATAACATGTCATCATGTTGTTTACCACACCAGGTCTCCTGCCATCACCATTTATCCCCCCCGTACCCTCCTCTACCTCCCCCAGCCCTAAACTTTCGTATTTTCCCTTATACAACAAGTTTTTCCCTTAAAAACTTCCGTTTTTTCCTAATCAAAAAATGTTGATTATATTGATGCAATGCTGTGCTTTAGTTTAAGATGGTGTGTGTTATAAAAAATACAATTTTATTAGAATCCTATGTCTTGCATAGCGTTTACATTTAGCAAAACACATATGTATGGAAACTAGTATAATGAGACTGATTTTTTCAAGTCACCCAAGAAAAGCTGCCTCCTTGTTTTTCTCATGTTACACATATGTTCTTTATCGGTCACCGCTTCTGTGTTGAAGTGGTGAATGCCATTTCTTAAGATAGGAAAATGTTATGATACTTTATGAATAAAAACAGCAGGAGGCCCCACTTGGGGAAAATTGGGACAACTGTATTTAAACAACAATAAAAAATATTTTAAAAAGAGGCCCAACTTGATAGTCTCTCATTTTTTTCATACTTTTCCTTTTTCATTTATCATTTTGATTGTGTTTCTGAGTTGGCCAAGTTATCAAGGAGACCTAAGCCATTGTTGGCTCCACTTATAAATAATTCCACAGAGGAAGGAGTTACAGGGGTAGAAAAACTTTATTGAGAATCATTGAGAAGAAGAGCAGAAGTAGTAAGCTGTGGAAACTAACTTATTGCCTGAGCACCAGTAGAAAATTGTTAGCTAAAGGGAAATAGTACTGTTTAAGTTATCACCCTCATTTGGGTCATTTGACATGATATGTGACCCATTTAAATAGAAATGTTTTCCTCATATCTTGACAGGGATTTATGTGGAATATTTAGAGTACAGTACATAATACCACAATATTTATAGTTACCAGGGCAACTCAACAGGTTACTGATGCTCTTAAGTTGTACAAACAGAATTCTATCGTGGGATTGGTTGTTTGTTTGTTTGTTTGTTTGCCTTTAGAGAGAGGGGAAGGGAGAGAGAAAGAGTTGGTGGTTGCCTCTCACACACTCCCAACCCAGAACCTGTTCCTGCAGTCCAGGCATGTGCCCTGACTGGGAATCAAACTGGCAACGTTTCAGTTCACAGGCCAGCACTCAATCCACTGAGCCACACCAGCCAGGGCTGTCCTAGGAATGTTTATTTAGTAGTCAGTTAATGCCTGTCAATAATAAACTGAAGCAAAATCCTCAAATAAACATATCCCTTCTGTAAAAATAACTGAACATTCACAGGTGGCTAAATATCTTTTTTCAGAGAAAAACAATGTTAACTCACTAATAATAGAAGTGATTACAGCCCTGGCTGGGTAGTTCATTTGGTTAGAGCATCATCCTGATAGGTCAAGGTTGCAGGTTCAGTCCCCAATCAGGGCACATACAAGAATCGACTGATGATACATAAATAAGTGGAATAACAAATTGATATTTCCCTGTCTCTCTCTCTCTCTACCTCTCCCCCACCCCTTACCTCTCTTCCTGCCTCCCCCTCTCCCTTCCTTTCTCTCTAGAATCAATAAATAAAATTCTTTTTAAAAAGGAATACAGTTCACCAGCCTACAAGCTAGAACCAGAGGTATAGAGAAGGCATAGTAATTTAGATTACTACTTGAATCTAAATATTCTCTGTTCTCATTTGTTTAGATTTTCCCAGTAAAGTGAAGCTCCATTGATTTTATAGAAAGGAAGGGAGAGAGAGAGAGAGACACCCATAGGTTGCCTCCTGTGTGCACTTTGACAAGATCAAACCCACGGCCTTTTAGTGTATAAGATGCTGCTCCAACGAACTGGGCCACCTGGCCGGAGCTAGATCTCTGTCTTACAGTAAAATTATAAAAAACTGAGCCACAGTTAGGTTACAAAAATTCAAGCAGGTCAGGCTTGTTCAAAGTATTGGCGTAATTTTAAGATTTTGAGAAGACAATTTAACATAACTACCAATTTTAAATCCACATGTCCTTTGACAGAAGATGTCTTTCAGAACTTTTCACATATGGTCAAGAATAAATGTACAAAAAATTTGCACAACAAAATTATAAAATGATAAAAGTTTGAGACAATCTGCCTCACTAAAAACAAAAAAACGAAAACAAAAAAACTAAGCAGTTATTTAAAAAGCTAATTGGTGATATCACAGTCCAGTGAGGCGGGGTGGCCACCGTGGCACTGGGAGAGCAAGATGGGGAAACAAAATTGACTGGAATGCGAGTGTGGTCGGTCCCCTTGAGACTGGCCCAGGAACACATGGGGACCTTGTCCATGCCTCTGCTGTCAGTCTGCCTACCTACGTCCAGTGACCTGTGGCCTCCTTCCCTTCTACCTGGCTGGAAAAGAAACCCCTCTCATACTAGTACTAAGGACACCAGAGCGTGAGAGAAAGGGGAACCTCGTTCATCTTAATTCCTGGGGACTTAACCCCCTGAGTGTCAGGATTTTCTCCTCCCCCCCAAAATAGGCAGCTTTTGTTTTGTCCTCTTGGCCAGTAGTTCCAAATCTTTCCTTTGTTAAAACCTTGTTGTATACATATGCTTTGCCCCTTCCATGGATTCCTATGATTTGAAAGATTTCATCTGCTAAACTGCCAAATGATAGCATCATTTTTTCCCTTCCAAAGTAATAAAGTCTTCTGTAACTGAATGTATGTTATAGTCAGTGCCCTAGAGGTAGAGAATATCACAAATCTTCAAAGTGCTTTCTGTCAGGCACCGTGCTAAACACTTTACATAAATTATTTCATCTTCAGCGTAATCCCAGAAGGTGGGTTTTATCTGCATTTTACAGAAAAGGAAACTGAGAATATTCTTAGGGACACATAGTAAGTGTCAGAACCACATATAACAAAAATGTTTGTATGACAATGCATAGAAAATTATCTGGAAGATTACTTCTTGGAGACGGGAGTAATGAGAGCTTTCGATTACTACTCCACTTCTATATTTGAATATTTCATGCAAGCATACAGTACTTTTATAATTTTGAAAATAAAGTTTTTGCTCAAAACAAAAAAAGAAAATCTGGTGCTATCAAGTCCTTAATGTAAAATGTCCTAAGGGATCTTGCTCAGAATTTAAAGGTGAATTATGGCTCCACAGTGTATTTCTAGGGTGAAAACTACCCTTTAGCAGCATTCACCTAAAATCTGTAGAACTCGAAGGTGTCCGGCATGGACTGGGTAGCCTAAAGCAGAGATTTCCTTGAGTGGCTCATGAGACAATTTTCATGGCATTTCTTCCTTTTCTTTTTTAACTCTATTCTTCCTTTTGTTCATTTTTAACATCCGTATGTACTAGTGGAGCAGACACCTGTTTTCTTACTCATACATTAAATTTGATGGGGACACCTGTGGGGCATTGCCAAGATCCTTTAGTAACCCACAGAAATTAACCCTGCTCAATAAAGTGAAGTGCGAGTGTGGTTCGGATATGCTAAAATTAACTGGGTATTGGATGAGGCTGTCTTACTCACTAAAGCTAAGGTGAATGACATTCCAAATGTTTGTACTTCTCAGAGGATTGATCACTTGTGTTGCTATGCTATATAGAATTTTATCACCTGCTTTGTGCTGTGTATTTCCAAGCAGTCGGCCTCTGGGAAAACTTTTAGCCTCCTATGCTATGGGACATAGCAAACTACAGGTCGGCTGCCAGCTGTATTTCTCTCAGAAGGGAATGCCCTCTTCCTACCTCTGATTGTCACTTTGATATGTTTTTTCCCTTTGCCTTATTGGAGATGGGGAGTGTACAGAATCATGGGAAGGTTGGCCAGTTATACCAGAAGTACAGCGTTCATTTCTACTGTTCTTTTTGTTCTCTAGCTTCCCATTGACCGGGGTGGAGGTGAAGGAAAGGCCATGTACATTGACACCGAGGGTACCTTTAGGCCAGAACGACTGCTAGCAGTGGCTGAGAGGTAGGTTACTGGATTAGATGAAAGAAGTATGGCTGTACTGTCATTGTGATTGCCCAGGGGTAGTCTGGCTGAAGAGTGTCTGCTTATTAGTCCATATTCCAGAGTTGTTTGTATATCAGAGAAAAGCATTCTTCTTTAGTCAGAAATCCATGAATTACTTCCAGACTGGATAAAAGAACAAGATCCCACTTATGTTGTCTTCCAGAGAAACACTTTAGGTTCAAAGACACAAAGAAGTTGAAAGTAAAAGTTTGAAAAAAGATTTGCATGCAAACAGTAACCATTAGAGAATTCTAGTGGCTATGCTAATATCAGACAAAATAGGCTTTAAGACACAAAAAAAATATTACTAGGGACACATTCTATAATTAAAAGGTCAGTTCAGTGGAGAGGTATAACTATTATAAACATACACACATCTAATAACAGCCCCAAAATATATAAAACAAAAACTGACATAATTGAAGGATGAAATAGACAATTTGACTATAATAGTTGAGGACCAATATCTCACTATCAGTAATGGATAAATGGCTCGATGAAGGGGAACTACAAAAATCTACAGCTTGCATCATACTTAATGGCGCAATTCTGAATGCTTTCTTCTTGAGATCAGAAACAAGGCAAGGGTGTCCACGCTCACCATTTACATTCCATATTGTACTAAAGGTCCTAGTTGGTGCAATCAGTCAAGAAAATAAAAGGCATCCAGATTGGAATGGAAGACATAAAACTCTTTATTCACCAATGACATGATCCTATATGTAGAAAAACCTAAAGAATCTACACACACAAAAAGAAACTACTAGAACTAAATTAATTCAGCAAGATATGCTATAATGTCAGTATTTCTATATACTGGCAATGAACAGTTCAAAAACTAAAAATACAACCCATTCACAGTAGTATCAAAAATAATATTTAGTAATTTAACAGGAGTGCAAGACTGGTACACTGAAAACTACAAAACGTTACTGAGAAACATCTGCATAAACAAATATTCCATATTCATGGATTAGAAGGTATAACATTATTAAAATGGTAATTTTTCCCTCAAATTAATCTATGGATTCAACACAATCCCTATTGAAATTCCAGCAAGCTTTTCTGCAGAAATTGACAAACTGATTATAAAATTTATATGGAAATATCAGGGACCCAGAATAGCCAAAACATTACTGAGAGGGGAAGAAATTGGAGATCTCCCTTAGTCTTTTCAATTTGAAAACTTACTATAAAGCAACGGTAATCAAAACAGTGTGGTGCTAGCATAAGGACAGACATATGGATCAATGAAACAGAATTGAGAGTACAGAAATAAATCCTCTTATTTATAGTCACTTGATTTTTGATAAAGGTGCCAAGGCAATTTAATGGGAGAAAGAAATAGTTCTTTTTAACAACTGGTTAATGTAGTTGAATATCTGCATGCAAAAACATATATTTAGACCCTTACCTTACACCATACATAAAATTAACTAAAAATGGATAATGGTCTTGTGAGGTGATTCCTCAAAAAATTAAACATAGAGCCCTGGCTGGTATGGCTCAGTGGATTGAGTGCCAGCCTGCAAACCAAAAGATCGCCAGTTTAGTTCCCAGTCAGGACACACAGAATTACATTATGATCCAGCAATTCCAATTCTGGTTATATATTCAAAAGAATGAAAGCAGGGACACAAACAGATACTTACTTGTATTACAATGTTCATAGCAGCACTATTCACAATAGCCAACAGGTGGAAACAATCCAGGTATCCATGAACAGGTAAATGGATAAACAAAATGTATATACACACAATGGAATATTTTTCAATATTAAAAAGTAAGGAAATTCTCACACATGCTACAGCATGGATAAACCTTGAAAATCTGCTAAGTGAAATAAAGCAGTTGCCATAAGGACAAATATTGTATTATTCCTATGAGGTACTTAGATTAGTCAAATTCATAAAGAAACATTAGAGTGGTGGTTTCCAGGGGCTAGGGGGTGAAAAGAATGGGGACTTATTGTTTAATGGGTACAGAGTTTCAGTTTGGAATGATTACACAACAGTGGGAATGTACTTATTGATACTGGACTATATATTTTGAAAAGGTTAAAATGGTAAATTTTATGTATATTTACAACAGTATTTTAAAAAGATAATCATCCTAAACATAAGAGCTAAAACTAACACTTTGGGGGCAAGGGAGAAAACTCTGATAAGGATCTAGTATCCAGAATATATGAATAACTCCTACAACCAGAAAATAAAATGGAACTCAATTTTAAAAATGGGCAAAGATTTGTAAAGACATTTCTCCAAAGATATGCAAATAGCCAATAAGCACATGGAAAAATACCATCATTGGTCAAAGGAAATGCACATTAAAGTCACAGTGAGATACCACTCCTGGGATGGCTATAATAAAACAAATAGTAACAAGTGTTAGGGAGGGTGTAGAAAAACCGGAACCCTTCTACATTGCTGGTGAAAATGTAAAATGGTATAGTCACTTTAGAAAAGACTATGTCAATTAAACAAATTTACCATATGACCCAGCAGTTTTACTCTGTATGTAACCAAGAGATGTGAAAACATGTCCAGAGACTTGTATGTGGATGTTTATGGTATTGTTATAATCTCCAAAAATCGGTAACAACCCATTGTCTATCAACTGGTGAATGAATATACAAAATTTGATTTATTCATTATATAGTATTTCCATTATTTATGAAGTACTATTTAACCATAAAAAGGAATGAAGTACCAATACATATTACAATGTGGAGGAACCTCAAAAACATACTAGGTGATAGAAGCTAAACATATTGTATGTGATTTCATTTATATGAAATTTCCAGAAGGGGAAGATCTATAACGATAGTAAATTAGGTTGTTTCCTGGGGCTGGGAGTAGGAAGAGAAGTAACTGCAAATAAACTCGTGATCTTTTTGAAGTGATGGAAATGTTCTAAAATTGGATTGTGATGATAGTTGTACAACTCTGCAAATTTACTAGGAAGTCATTGCGAGGCTTAAGTTGGAAACTGCCTAGCTAAATAGAGAATTTTCTTTTCTAGTTTTATAATTATTAACCAAATTCTCTTCCCTGTTAACAACTTGAGGAATCCAAGCCATGGAGTATGTACCATTGAGGCATAACATTAGTTTAGAACAATAATTGTGGCTTTTGCTTTTGCTTACAAAATTCCTGTCATGAAAAAAGACTCCCTCTCTTGCAACCTGATTTTAGTTTTCTAAAGATGTGTATACTAAACTGTATCTTCCTTCCCAAAGTTATTTTCTGTGTTCTTGTACAGAAATTGTACATTTGATTTTTAAGTACATTATTTTAGTAGTCAAAGAGTTCTCTTGGATAGTCATTAAGATTTTGTCTAGTAGCGTAATTGGGTGTTCAGATAGGATGGATGAGATAGTAGAATATTGTCTGTGAGGACAGGGACATCGTGTTTTTGTTTTTATTTTATCCTCACCCGAAGACACGATTATTGACTTTTTAAGATTTTATTTATTTATTTTTAGAGAGAGGGGAGGGGAGGGAGAGAAACATTGATGTGATGTGGGAAACATCAGTCAGACGCCTCCCTCGCCCATCCCAACTGGCGAGTGAGTACGCAGCCCAGGCACATGCCCTGACCAGGATTGAACCACTGACCTTTCGCTCTGTGGGATGATGCTCTAACTGAGCCACACCTCCCAGGGCAGGGACTTTGTTTTCATCACTCCAAGTGTCCCTGAGTCCTAAAACAGCATTCAGAATGAATTAATATTTATTAAGTAGGGCCATGTTTATGATTTTAATTTCTGAGAAAATTACAGAGCCTCCTTAAGCTAATACCAAATTTCCCCTCATAACAGAACAACTCTCCCTGATTAATTTTCGCCATGCCCTGCTGAAGAATATTAATCCACATTTAGGTTACTATAACTCAGGGTTCTCAGAATGTGGTCCTCAGTACAGCTGCATTACCATCACCTGGGAACTTGTTTGAAATGCAAATTATCTGACTCCACACCACGTTTGCTGAATCAGGAGCAGAGACTCTGAGGATAGGGTCCAACAAGCTCTCCAGGTAATCAAAATGTTTTGCTGAAGTTTGAGAACCACAGTCACAATTGTCAGTGTCACCACATTTTTTTTAAAGCTCTTTTAAGTACTATGAAAGAAAGAATGACAGTACCCCTTTGAGGTGATACAGAAGAGTTTTTCAAACTTACATGTTAAGAATCACATGAAACCTGGTTGCTGTGGCTCAATGGATTGACCTCCAGCCAGTGAACCAAAAGGTTGCCACTCAGTTCCTGGTCTGGGCACACGCCTGGGTTGCAGGCCAGGTCCCCAGTTTGGGGGGCCGTGAGAGGCAACAGATGGTGATGTTTCTCTCCCTCTCTCCCTCCCTTCCCCTCTCTTTAAAAATAAGTAAATAAAAAATTTTTTTAAGAATCACCTGAGGTATTTGTTAAATATACAAATTAATGTGTCTTCCCTGAAAATTGTGATTTATTTTTTTTTTAATTTGTTTTTTTAGGCTCAAGGATTTTTACATTTTTAATAGGTATTCCAGGTTATTCGTATCTTTGAGGAAGTTCCAGAAACACTGTGAGAGAGGATGCTTATTTCTCACCAACTTTTTTCCAAACTGGGGATTGAAAATTTCATGTTGCTTTTGGAACTTAAGCACAGAGATCCCCATAGTCACGTTTGTGCACACTGCTGAGAGGAAAGCCAGGATCGTTTTTTAATCTAGTTAGCACTCATCAGGTGATAATTTTTTTAACTGGTTTTTAGAGAGCGAGCTCAGAGACATTTATTTGCTCCACTTATTTGTGCATTCATTGGTTGGTTCTTGTATGTGCCCTGACCAGGGATCCAAACCTGCAGCCTTGGTATGTCTGGACAGTGCTCTGACCACCTCAGCTACCTGGCCCCAGGATGCCAGGACAATTCTTTGTTTTTCTGGTAAACCATCCATGTTCTGGTAGCAAAAGATAATCTCCCTTCCTCATAGTAGATCTATGTTTCTTGAGTCAAGACTAGAAGACTTGTGTGGTATAATACTTAGGCCTCTTGAATCTTTTTAAAGATCTTACAACCATGATTTAAATATGGAAAATTTTATCTCCTATTCCCATTTTATTTAGTCAGTATCCCAAGGTAAAATTCTGTTCTCCATCTCCTTATTTTCATGCCCAGATTTAACAGATAATTCATCATTATCAATCCACTTAATGCCAGGACTAACCTTTCCTTTATGTTGGTGATGGTGAAGAATATCAGAGAAAGTGTCCAGGAAAGTACATAATGTGAAGAATCCATTGTATGGTGTGGAAAATGCAGTTGGATAGGGTGGCATCTAATGATGCCAGATTTAGCTTGTTGCAGTGTTATTTCAAGTGCTAGAACAGTCTTTTGTTTTTCTATTCTTTTTGGGAGAAAAACTAATAAAGCTAAGTTTCAGAAAAACAAGTTTGATGTAATGTATGTTTTTGTAGTGGTCAGAGTCTCCACATAGAAGGAACTGCTTCTTTAAAGACTGATAGAAATATAAACAGGAATTTTTGGTTCTCAAAGAATTATATCACATTGATTTGTTTAAACGTTCTTTTGAAATATTACATAAGGGAAGTGTATTTTTGGAGTATCATGAAATGAGTTGACATATGAAAATATGACTGGGTTAAAGTGACATATATGATTCTCTTTGAATGGGTTGTAGGTAAAGCTTTACTCAGCAACATTTATTCAGAATTTACTAGCTATAAAAAAATGTACTAGGTAGAGAAGTTTAGTCTTTACCCAGGGAATTTGTAATCTAGTCAAAGAATGGCAAGATGGCCTCTCACAAGTGCCATAAAAAGACACTTTTGGAAGTGTCATTTTTTTTGGAAGCACAGAAGAGGGAGAATCATATATATATTTGAGAGGTACAGGGAAGTTTTCATGAAAGTGCAGGCAGTTAGTTGAGTCTTGATAGATGCATAAATCAAATTATTTTTTAAGAAATGGGGCTTCATTATGGTACATTTAATGAAAATGAAAGCTGTATTGAACCATTCACGTCTTAGGTAGCAGTTATAAAGGCGAGAAAATACAGATTGTCCTAAGAAAATGGAGATATTTTATTTGCCTTTTTTTTTAAGAGAGAGGAAGGAAGGGAGAAAGAAAGGGAGAGAAACATCAGTCAGTTGCCTCTCATACACCCCAACCAGGGATCAAACCCACAACGTAGGCATGTGCTCTGACTGGGAATCAAATGGGTAACTTCTGCTTTGCAGGACCATACCCAGTCAACTGAGCCACACTGGTCAGGGCTATTTGCCTTTTTTAAATGCATATGGGGGAAATCATGATTGAGATATGAAATGAATTAAGGTATCGATCATTTAACCATACTACCGAATTTTGCCGTGTATAATGCTTTTTGCCCAAATTTTTTAGGGAAAATAAGAGTACATATTGTACTTGGGAATTAGTACTAAAACACAGGTGTGCATTATATGCAGCAAAATATAGTAGATACATGTCACATATTCTATCTTAATTATTAGCAATAAAAATGTACTTGTTTCTGTTTAACTTTTTAGAATTTTGAGTTTTTGTTTAGGTTTTATTCCTATATAACAAGTTTATGTGAATTAATAGATCTTTGAGTGATTGTTTTTTTGTTTCATTCTCAATTCTGTCATGTTGCTCTTGGTTTGTCCAGAACATTTTTTCCTTATATTTGGAAATTTATACTTAAGGAGTTTTCAATAGATTTATTTTGAAGTCCTGCCAGATCTACTTCAAAGCAACGCTGTTATCTCTCCCTCTGTACTTTGTCTGTACTGGACTTCCTAATAGGAAAGGAATTAACGTTTTTTAGCTTCAACACCACCACTTCTAACCATCCAGGTAACTTCTCATCTGCCTGAGTTCTGTGTGTAGCCTAAAAATGTCTCTCCTCTCTTCCAGATATGGCCTGTCTGGCAGTGATGTCCTAGATAATGTAGCATATGCTCGTGGGTTCAACACAGACCACCAGACCCAGCTGCTTTATCAGGCATCAGCTATGATGGTAGAGTCCAGGTATGTGCTCAATAGAAGACACTGCATATGCTCCCGGGGCCCTTACCTGAATCTTACACAAGCTATTTAACCAAACTGATAGTACCTTGAATTAGAAATGGAGAGATTTAATGTCAATAATGTTTTGACATTATTGCTTTGTGGTTAAAGTCAAGTCACTGTTAAAAAATGAAGCCATAATCCACCTGAACTTGTTGGAAATTTTACCTTGTTATATGGTACCTCAGACATGAAGGCTGCACAAGTATGTTAATGAAACATCTACGTATAACTGTGAATATGGAATTTTAGTATAGTGAGGAATGAAGCAGAATCTGCCATAAGCCTGAAGTAGGCTTCCCTTGTTCCCTGTAGGTACGCACTGCTCATTGTAGACAGTGCCACTGCCCTCTACAGGACAGACTATTCCGGTCGAGGTGAGCTTTCAGCCAGGCAGATGCACTTGGCCAGGTTTCTGCGGATGCTTCTGCGACTTGCTGATGAGGTAAGTTGTGGGTTAGTGACAGAGAATAACTATTTTCAGAGGCCGTGAATTCCAGAAGACTTGCTGGGAGACCAGGACATCAGGGCTTGGTGATCATCCAGATATCAATCAGTTAGATATCTGAAGAGACACTTGAGTCATTCATTGGTTTGTGAGGGAAAGGGGTGGCCTTAGTAAGGTCCCTGGAATGTCTGTGGCCACAAAAAATGACATTTATCCTTTCTTCATCAGTTTGGTGTAGCAGTGGTAATCACCAACCAGGTGGTAGCCCAAGTGGATGGAGCAGCCATGTTTGCTGCAGATCCTAAAAAACCTATTGGAGGAAATATCATTGCCCACGCCTCAACAACCAGGTAAAGTGATGCAATAGACGACTTCATCTTGGAATGTCGTGTTAACTATGAAGCAGACGTGAAGATTCAACATTTCCCTGTTAAAGCTATTGTTATGTAATTGGACAAAGGAGTCTTTGCTAAATCTAATTATCATGCTTTGGTTAGTACACGTTTGCTTTTAGTTCATAAAAGAATTAAAAGTGCCCTGGCTAGTGTAGCTCAGTAGATTAAGCACAAGCCTGTGAACCAAAGGATCACAGTTCCATTTCCAGTCAGGACACCTGCCTGGGTTGCTGGCCAGTTCCCAGCAGGGGATGCACGAGGGGCAACCAAACATTGATATTTCTCTCCTCCTCTCCTTCCCTTCCCCTCTAAAGATAAATAAAATCTTTTTTTTTTTTTTAAAGAAAAGAATTAATTGCCCTGACTGGTGTGGCTCGGTGGATTGAGCATCATCCTGCAAACCAAAAAGTTGCAGGTTCAGTTCCCAGTCAGGGCACATACCTGGATTGTGGGCCAGGTCCCAGGCTGGGGGAATGGGAAGGGCAACCAATAGATGTTTCTTTCCTATTTTCTCTCTCCCTTCCCCTCTCTCTAAAGATGAATGAATGAATAAATAAATAAATAAGATTTTATTTATTTTTAGAGAGAGGGGAAGGGAGGGGGAAACATCAATGTGTGGTTTAATCTCACGTGCCCCCTTCTGGGGACCTGGCCTGCAACCCAGGCGTGTGCCCTGACTGGGAATCGAACCAGCAACTCTTTGGTTCAAAGGCCAGCACTCAATCTGCTAAGCCACACCAGCCAGGGCAATAAAATCTTGGGAAAAAAAAATTTAAAGCCCTCAAATGTTGAGAGCTGAATATGAAGAATATGCCTCCCTCTCATTATTAAAAGAAAGTAGCCCTGGCTGGTGTGGCTCAGTGGGTTGAGTGCCTGCCTGCAAACCAGAGGGTCACTGGTTTGATTCCCAGTCAGAACACATGCCTGGGTTGTGGGCCAGGTTCCCATTTGAGGGTATGCAAGAGGCAACACATCAATGTTTCTCTCCCTCTTGTTCTCCCTCCCTTCCATTCTCAATGAATGAATAAAAATAATTGTCCCTGGCCAGGCAACTCAATTAGTTATAGCATTGTCCTAATACACCATGTTTGCAGGTTCGATCCCCAGTCAGGGCACATACAAGTCAACCAATGAGTGCATAAATGAGTGAAACAACAAATCGATGATTTTCTTTTCTCTCTCCCTCTCCCTTTCTCCCAAACCCTATTCTCTCTTTAAAATTAGTGAATAAAGATTTTTTTTTTTTTTACTCAAAGAAAATAATTGTTGTAATGTGGAAAATCCACTAGGGTGGGGGAGGACAGGGCAGAAGCGGTCTCCTCCAGGTGGGAGGTACCCCGAGGAGTACAGGAAGATTCCAGAAGTCATTTAAAGAAGTATATACATCCAAACTTATTTTTAGTTCTACCATAAATACAGGAATAGAATTTTTAGTTATAATAACTTGGGTATTTTGGTCTGTGTCTTTGGGTCAGACTTTACCTGAGAAAAGGAAGAGGAGAAACCAGAATCTGCAAAATCTACGACTCTCCCTGTCTTCCTGAGGCCGAGGCTATGTTTGCCATCAATGCGGATGGAGTGGGAGATGCCAAAGACTGAATCATTGGGCCGTTTCCTGTGATGAACCTAAGTGCTGCAGCCTGGTGGAGAAGACTGCTCCCTGGGGTTTCTCGTGGGCCTCTTCCTGTTGTGACTGCCAGAAAAAGGCTTCCGGGGAAATATCTATTGTATCAGCTTTTCTGGTGGTGTAAACAGGAGACAGGTCAGTGGTCACAAATGGATCTGTTTATTCCTTCTCTAGAGAGTGTGTTAATCTCTATGTGAATTCTTTGGTTTGGGGGGGTTGATGTATGGCATACCTTTGACACAGTGCCTTGTGGTTGACTCGTGACTAACAGCTGTGCCTCCAAAAGAACTAGAGCTGGGGAGACCTGGCTCTTTCCTCACTGTCTGAATAATGTCGAAAACAAATGTCTCAGCTTTGTGGCAAAGGGAATGGGTCTCCTCAGAGGTTTTTTTTCTCTGTCAGTAAATCTGTCAATCAGACAGAGGTTTTTAAGTTTGTATGCTTGAATTATCTCATGTAAGAATTTGTTTTTAGTTAAGGAATACTGAGCAGACCTGCTGTGCCACTGGCCCATTAACCACCTACTTGCTTAGTTTTGTTTTGTTTTTACTGCTAAGAGCATCTCAAGATAATTCTGGAATCATAAGCATTTCAGAGGCTTAAGTAGATTCAGGGTGAGGCTGCTATAAAGTAGTTATTTGTAGTGACTGCTGTTTATAAGAGTTACTCTAGAACAAACTAAGTATTTCAAGATAGGGCCTTTATATCTTTTTGGCACTGGGTAGGGATGGTCAGTATCTATTGCTTTAAAATTGAAATTTAAAAGGGAAGTCCTACATTCAGATGATTGAGCTTATTGTCCTTCAACCTAGTGTACTATTACAAGATGGATGTACCATGGCTTCCTGTGGCCTTTGTTTTTATTCCGAAAGTCTCATGTTGTAGAACTCTGATGCTTCCCTGGGTTATTCTACTTCAGGGGGGTTGATATACTCTTCTTCCCCTTTAAACTTCTACTTAGGATGGGTTTTAACAAGCTCTTCTAATTTCAGAAGGCCTCTCTGCTAGTACTGGGAGGAAAGGCAGTGAAATCTCTACTGGTGCTGTGTTGACCCCAGTGCACATAGGGGGATACAATTTGATGCAGCTTTGTTTTAAAAGCAATTCTGTTTCCTGGCTTTTAAAAATGGAGTATCTCGCAGGTCTTCTCTTACCGAAAAACATACCTAGGGTGGTAGAATAAAGCCACAGTGACAGATTCTGGAATGAAAGTTTGGTTCTTGTATAAAAGCATCTCAGTATTTTAGGACCTATAAAGTGTAAATGTCTTTGACTTAGAAATTTGTCTTAATTTTCCTCATAGTTGGGATTAGGCTTTGTGCTGCTGCCTCAAAGTGGGTCAGGGAACACCTGCTTACGTGGAATAGGCCTTATTGGGCTAAAAATCAGCTCTCTGCCTCTATTTTACATATAAATAAAATTTTCACTGAAATAGCATTAACCAGAGAGCCTATTCTAAACTCTTTGGTGCTTTCTACTAGTCTACAACAGCCTCTGTAGCAGGTAACAGTTATGGAAGTGTCAAGCATAAGGAGTTGATAACAAATAAACATAGGGGAATATAATTGCTTCCAATCAAATTTGGTTTATTTTAAGTTTGTACCAAAATATATTCCAGGCATTCCTCATATCATCATTTTACTGTCTCATAAGCCTTATGCACGACTGTCATTCCAAAAGCAGCCAAGACGTCCAGCCCCTCGGCCCAGGAATACAGTTAGAATCAACATGATAGGTAAAAAGAGGGCAATATCCATGGACTGCCCTGACCCTTCCTTTTACCTTGATAGGTAGGATATGATTTTAGGACTATGTACTTTGGTGTTGAATATTAATCAGTGAAAAAGATGGGGTTAGAGAGTACAAGTTCTGTGTTTTGTTCTTTACAGCTCTTTGAGGTTCTTTCATGTTACCAGGAGTTGGAAGGAGGCCTTCAGTTCTCTACCCACATTCAACCCTAGAACAGGTCTTGATTTTTCAAGAATTCACTTACAGGAGATTACAACAGAAACTCAGGCTTAAGTACTTTCCTAATTGCAGATTAGTTGAACAATTAGAATAAAGTAACCAGTGGACAATGGGTAAGAAGATGGTAGCAGGTACTGGTTAGACCCAGGAGTCAGGATACTTACTCCCTTAACCAGTCTTGCTCAGTTTCCTGATCTAAGCAGGGACTAAGGGGGAAAAAGACTTGATTTTCATCCCCCTTAAGCAGTGATATCTCCCAAATCATGAAGGCCATTGTAATGTGGTTAGTTTCCTAAAATTACTTCCAATTCTTCCAAGTCCTTCTGGAAAGCTGAATCCTAGGGAAACAAGAGAATGAGACTAGGACCCAGAATCTAAGCCAACATTTCCCAAATCACTGGTACCTAAGAAGGGCCCTTTGCTTCCTTTCTGAGCTGTTATCATAGCACCTATATGCAAAAGTGTAGACTCTTTTCTAGGGAAATGAGATTTCGAGGGAAGATTTTCTTTCTTGAGAAGGTCCAGGAATGACTTGATAAACCCAGTGTTAGAAAAGTTCTTAAAAGCATTACCTCATTAGTGACATCTGGTAGTTCCTTGGCCAGCTTTACCCACTGTCTGGCTTCAGAGTTTTCTCCTAGTTCTCTGTAGCACTGAGAAGAGACAATAGTGAAACCTGGGAGAAACCAGCAGACTAGAAAGGCACAAGTAGGTATGCTTTAGGAGTTTTCAGAATATTGTCAACATACACACTTTTCATCTGTGTTGAAATAGGTGAATTTACCTTGGAAATATATACCCTTCCTGCTTTGGAAAATCCTGGCTGTAGTTCTTCAGCCTGAAGGAGGGAGGAAGACATTTCAGTACGGTGTTCCCAAATTCAGATCAGGCTCTGAAGTGTTATAGAGATTTCCAGTCCTCTACCTGGAGACTGATTTAGTGGGTCTGGGGCTGGATGGAGATATATAATTTTTATTTATTTATTTAAATAAGCTCTCCAGATGGTTCTGATTTTCCCATAGAATAGGCAAACAGAACTGCCCCCTGCCAGAAATGCCTCCAAACAATGTTGTTAGGAAAAGTGATGTAACCCAGGCATTTTTGGCTGTTGTTTACCCCCCTCCTTTTCTCCCTCCCCCCCCCCGCCCCCCAATACCTTTAGGAAGCTCTGGAGGGCATCCTGCACAGTAGCAGTGAGAGGGTTTTCAAACAAGGCTGCAGCAGTTTTTTTTTCCAGCCAACTCAGGTGAGCAACCTGTCACCAAAAAAAGATCAAGGTATGAATAAAAAGTTTTAGCAAGTATTTTTAGAAATAATGCATATTCTGTACTGAAAAACAGGGTCAGGGCTGGGTCCAATCATATAACTGCATTCGGAGGAAATGCACTTGAGCCAGACTGAGGCCCCTGCTTCCCAAATTTTCACTGCAAGATGTCACTGCGTCACAGGACACTAAGGATCCTTATACTAAGCCCTGAAGTTTAGCTCACCTGGTAATACCACCTGCCAAGGAGAAAGTGACCCATGGGGTTTTCTGGCTGGAGAGCAAGGGCTTTGTCCACATGTTCCTGAGGGGAAAGATGTAAATATAAACTAACATCAGACACCAGAATTGATAAGGGAAGAGGGGCGAGTCATGGAGGCAGAAGAAACACCCTTCGCAAGGAGCTAAGATGGAGCAGGGGCTGTGGGCAGCACAAGGGAAAGAGAAGCCTTTCCTCACCTTGAAGCTAAAGCCACTCTGGATGCGCCGCTGGATACCCTCATGCTCAGCCAGCTGACCACAGAGCACTGCATACCTAAGGGGGAAGCAGCGGCAAGCTCAGGGAGGGGCAGGATGACTCCCCACCCGGGGCCTAATGGCACCACCCCTGCACCCTCAACTTAGAGCTGAAGATATCTGCAGATAATTTGTGTTTTCACAGACCTGTGTTCCCATTCGTATTCTTTTGCAAATACAGTGGTAGGCTCTCCAAAGTATACATATTGGGTATAAAAAAGCCGGGTCCTCCACAGTAAATCTCTCTTATTCTTAATTTTGGCAAGCTCTTTATCCAGATGTCCAACAAATTTCTCATAATGAGTATACATAGGTATCATAAAACTTAAAAAGCAGTTCTCTAATAATCAGCATCATAGGGTAAGATACCCAAGTACAAAAGAGGTCTCATTAGCCTTGGCAGTATACACATACCAGCTGTACTCTGGAGCAATCAAATTGGGATGAGATGGTCTAGGAATTTTCTGGTGTTAACCTGAGAACCAACAAAGTGAAGGAAGAAAGGCCTCTGATTTCAGTCCTTCACATCCTTCCAGGGGGACAAGGCCAGCCAACCAGCTTCCCGTCTTTTGTGTTGAAAAACACAGGTCTTTCCCTCCAGCATTGTTTCCAGGGCACAGCTGACATTAAATGAGTGTCTAAAGGCCCAAGGTGCTCTTTCATATATTCACCAATTATCTGGGGGTACTTTTTTCCTCCATGTCCCCCCATTCACAATACAGACCAGGCGAAGGGCCTGGGGTGGGTTTGCTCTGCTCTTTCTGTACAGGTGGTATAAGAACAGCCTGTGGTAAGCACCTGGAGCCCTGGGGGTATTTCTATCAGATACTTCCAGAGGCTTGTTTCCATATTTAGTCCCAATAGCTGTTTTCCAACAATAAGAAAGCATGAGGCCAATTTCCATTCTTGGGAATCCAGGAAGCCCACAGAGAAGGAGCACCTGTGACACCCTAGAACCAGTGCTGACCTGGCCTCTGAGAAGGCGCCTTGCAGAGATAAAGTTTCAGCAACAGACAGAGAAAGCCTCTCTCAACTCACAGTCTGAGGACAGAGATGGGAAGAAAGGAGGCAGGAAAGGAACATTTCCATTAACACTCGGAGGTGCTGGGACCAGGACACAGGTTGGCCCTGACCCATGCAAACTGGCAGAACTTTGCCTCACATGAGACCACAAACAGGGCCACTGTTTTTGTGAGCAGAGAAACTGACAACTTCCTGGGGGTGAACTCACATCCACTTATTCTTGCAAGCCAAGCAAAGAAGCCAAAACTCACCACCAGCCAGAGAGAGCAGCTAAGGGGAAGAGGTGTTGTGCAGGGGAGGGTGACTGCAAACTGGCTCCCAGAGGAGCCAAGAACCCGCAAGTTTTGTAGCTAAGGTGGCTTACAAAGCTGCTCATTTTTCCAAGCCCCAGCAGGAAAAAAATAAAGCTTATATTCTCCCCTGCCTCATCCTGAAGGCACCTGCCAAAGAAAACTTCCCTAGTTCCCACCTGGGGGTAGGGTAGGGCGTGTAGAAGTAAAGGCCAGAGCTCCCTCTCCTGGTTCTTTTGGCAGATGCCTTTATGGCCAGATCAGTCCATAAAGCCCCTCCCCCTCCACTGCTGGCTCTTCCTGGGACCCTGCGTGGCATTACCATTGGTGACAGTCAGCATTCTCATTCCCCTTCTCCAGAGCAGCCTCCGCTTCTTCTTTTCCTATAAGACAAAGGTGGTCCAGAGTTGGCAAAGGCTCCCAAGCACACTTCCTAAGAGGGGCTTTTGGAAAGAATGACTGCTCCAGCTCTCACTGATGCCTACCCAGCCTGGATTTGTTTGGAAATAGTTGTGAACTTGAACAGAGTGAAAAGCTGCAAATAGCTTCTGAGGGATGGCTTCTGCTGCACTGCATTTCTCTGCTCTCTGTCATGAGCTGACCCAGCTAGCTTGTGTTTACAACACTCACTGATGTGCTCACAGGACTTCAAACATGAAGGGACCCAAAGCCGATCTGAAACTGCCCAATACACCTGACCATAGAGGGTCAGTTATTTGGGGTCTGTGAACAGGTTTCAGGATGTCCATGAGTCTCTCCAGGGAGAGGGTCCACAGCTTCAAAAATTCTCAAAAGGACCGATCAGTGATCTGAGAACGTTTATCACAGCTCTAGGCCAAAACTCCTCACCAAAGCCAAATGGCCTGAGGTATGCCCAGAGGCGACTTTCACTTTAGTCTTAAGTTTTCTAGATACCGAGACTAACAAAGAAATTAAGGCCTAAACACATGAAAGTTCTTGACAAGGGTCCCCTAGAGTGACAAGGAGCATGGAGCCCTCCAGATGAGGACCATCATACCTACACAATGCAAAAAAGAACACCCTGCAAAACAGAGAACTCCTTTGATTAAAACAAAGCAAAAGTCATGTGTTGGAATGGTAGATTGGCTAATCTGAAGTGTTTCTTCATCCTTAAGTGACAGTAATTATGGTATGTTGTACATGCAACATACATTTTTAAGAGAACTGATAAGAACCTTCCATCTCCCTTCCCAAACAGAAGGACTATATGCCCCCACCAATGAGGGGCATTGTCTCTAAAGGGATTTCTCTCTCTCCCCTTCACAGCACTATCTCACTAGGAAAATAAATTAAAAATGAGACACAGTCCCTGCCAAGTTAAACACGGGGGTGAACAGATAACTCCTATGATCCCAAAGAATAGCTTTTCCTGGTGGTCCAGCTTCCAGAGGTAGAACAA